ATCGCGTACAGCAGCAGCTGTTGTTCGCCCGTTACTGCTAACAGGGCTTCGCCGACTTCGTGCGCACTGTGTCACCAAACCATGCACCACTGGCCTGGCCGAGTCGGCCTACGCTTTGGGAATAGCCCGAACCTCAATGCCAGCCTAGCACTAGCTAGCTTGCATGCGCCGAGTTACCGTGTGCATGTTTTGCTTACAATTATTCGCTCATGCCTTCGCTCTTACTATGTACTCTTTTGACACCTAGTGAAATCCTCGCTATCTCGTTCCATTGCACCCGTAACACCATGACTGAAATGTGAATTAGCAGAGTAATTGAACCAACTAGAGCAATAAAGGGTCGGCTTGTACGTGATGATCATCCTGGCCCCACGAGCCGAAGCCTGCCGATTGCGTCCAACGGCGGCAAGTCACAGTGCTGGAACTAGGGCATTCAAACAAAAAATTGCTCTCACGGGCCAAACACGTAGAGTTCGGAATAGGTGTTTGCCAGCCCGCGCCTAGGTTGCCTTGGTTTGGTCGGTGCTGCCCGAAGGGGTTCTGGGCCATGTTTCAGCCCTAGCTGCCCGGAGCGCGACAAAGGAACACCACCTGGGAGGGAAACAGCGCGCAAGGCACATCAAGTGTAGGGTGGTCTAGTTCCAAAATATCTGCGCTAATCCCACCCGGCCGTAATGTATCGTACATAATCGTCTAACACTGGACTGAACGGGAATGAACCAGTTACCCAACATCTCTTCTGAATCTCGCATGCACACGGCATTGTCAGTGTTGGCTGACAATGTACTATGGAGCCTGCAGCACCAAGGAATTGCCGGCGGGAAGTATCACCTGAAGCTTGTTCACAACGGTCACGAGAGCTGTATTGCGTTCAAACACGGTTCATTTACACTTACGACTGTGGGTGCTGTGTACAGTGGTTTATCATGATGAGCACTTCCTCCGAGATTCACGAGAGAACATCGGTGGGGGAAGTCGCTTCGCTGCATTGTATTAGTTTCGTCCCGTCCTGTCCTGTGTGTCACAGTATTAGCGCGTCGCTTTCTGTCGGGCCAGTCCGGGCTCTGATGCAGAGCTGCTCACGCAATACTTCACGAAAATTCGCGGCGCCGCCTCAATCAAGAGCGACACGAATGGCTCGTCGTTCCGTCGAACCTCGTTATCATGCGCCGCTGCGGCGAGCAGCATCGTCGTGCGAATTAGTACCGCTCGTAACGCTCGCGCTTCTCGCCTTGCTTCCGAGTCTCGGCGCTCTCGCTGCCACTGATCCCGCTCACGGTAGGCGATTGTTCCGATTTTTTATTTGGTCGAAAGGCCATTTTTAAGGGAAATCTGAAAGCTGTGCGAATTGGTCTGGGATAATCATCTTGGCGGTTTATGATGTAGGCGAATTTGGTGCTGATCACTCGCGAGAGTGTCGATCAAAGTTCGAACGCGTCATCCAGGATGAAATTTTGGAGCGCCTGCCACGATCCTTCGCATTCAAAAATAGCATCGCAAACCCCGTACATTCCGCATATGACACATCGCTACCCACTGGGTCAAAACGAGGGTGTTATTTGGCGCAGCGGAATGCCCTTAACACCCCGCCCTCACAGAGTACGTGCGCAGCCGGAACTTGCGCGACGTACGCGCTTAAAGCCCACACATTTGCCTTTCCCCATTCCCTGCCCTCCATTGACCACTGCGTGCATTCCTCCTCAGCAGCCCCAAGGCATGCACGGCTGATGCCCTGTGCAGCTGATTCGGAGGACCTTCGCGTCCCTAGGTCACTTTGGTTTGGTTAGCCCCAAGCAATGCACGGCTGAGAGTACCTTGTTTTTCCTCCCTTCCCTCCCTCAACCATCTCCAGTGGCCATCCTAAGGACCTTCGCTGCTTTAGGCAACCCCAGCAGCCCCCCTTTCAACGCGTGGACTGGGGACGACCCGTGTGGGCCAGACGCGGGGAGCGCATGGGCTGGCATCACATGCGACACTGGCAGCCCGTACAGTACAGTGGCTGAGATGTGAGTGCGGGAAGGGGGCGTTGGGTGGTGCTCACTTCCCCTTGCTTGAACGGTTTGTGCGGGTGCAGGGAGCGCATGGGCTGGCATCACGTGCGACACTGGCAGCCCGTACAGTACAGTGGCTGAGATGTGAGTGCAGCCTGGGGGACTGGGGTGGTGGTGCTCTGTGCCCGTTGAGATGGCATGGCAGATGCAGGGAGCCCATGGGCTGCCATCGAGTACGACACAGGCAGCTCGTATAGCACCGTGGCTGAGATGTGAGTGCAGGAAAGGGAATTGTGTTTTTGCTCCTTTCCTGCAGTGGGGGGCCAAACCGTGCAGGGTGTATGCACGAAATGCATGGCCTGGCATCAAGTGCAACGCTGGCAATCCTTGTAGTACTGTGGCTGAGATGGAGCAGAGTGAGGGGGACTGGGGTTCTTACTTGTGCTTGGAGAGGTGGTGGTCGACCTTTGTGAGGGGCAGTGGAGTGAGGGGGACAGGAATGGTGCTCCGTGCTTGGAGGGGGGATGATCCGTGCATGCAGCGAGCACATGGGCTGGCATCGGGTTTAAAGCAGCTAGGCAGCAGGCAAATTGTGATGTGCCATGTGTGCCATCAGTCAGTCAGTCAGTCGGTCGGTCGGTCGGTCGCAGCAGGAGCAGATGCAACAACAGCAATAGCAGGAGAAACAGTAGCAGCAAGTGCAGCAGCAGCAGCAGAAGCAGCGGTAGCAGATGCAGGTGTAAAAGCTGGTCGGTCGGTCGGTCAGTCAGTCCGTCCGTCCGTCCGCCTGTGTGTCCAAACGCCTGGTTTCTTCGCTTCTCCGACTCAATCCCTCCCACCATATGCCTCCCGTCTCCCCTCGCCATCAGTGACATTCAGGACGCCAACCTAACAGGAGACTTGCCGCCTTCCATCTTCAACCTCACATCGCTTCGCTTGATGTGAGTTGCCATGCCATGCCATGCCCGTCGGCTCATCCCTCTTTTGCATACGACTGCATGCCCCACTCTGCCTCCTCCCCTCTCTCTTCTCTCCTCCCCCGCATGGTCCTGGTCATTGAATACGGTTCCCTTCTCGCCCTTACACTCGCAATAAGCCAAGGTAGTGCAAGCAAGTAGATAGGTATGAGAAAAGGTCCGAGCCGGCTCCACCGGAGCCTGCTTAGCTTGAGCCTTGAACACATGCACAGGCCTACTACCCAGCAGCCTGTGCATTACCAAGAGGCCAGTGCCCCACTGCCGCCCAACTTCCATCGCCTCTCCCCTCTGCTTACGCTCCCTCTCTGTCCCTGCAACAGCAGTCTGGCGCATCCTGTGCTGTCTGGTCCGCCCTCACTATTCTTCCCTTTCCATCTCTTCCTCCCTTAAAAGTCTTTTTTAAGGCGCCTCAAAAGTCTTTTTTTTCCTGTTCTTCCCCCCCTCACCCATCCAGAGCAAACTGGAGGTGTTGGTTAAGATGGGAGACAGATCGGGGACAGGAGAGGGGAGGGAAACGGATGCAGATCTCGATTCTTAGCAACAATCTCAGTCCCCAGCGTTAAGCTCATGGTGAGGTGTCCTCTCACAACAATCTGTGTCCGCCTCCTCTCGCCTCTCCTGCCGCCCATCTGTCTCCCACAGCAATCTGGCGCTCAACCCAAATATGACGGGCAGCTTTCCAGATGCACTTGGAAACCTCGTGCAACTCACCACGCTGTAAGCCCTCTCTGCTGCGCTGCGCTGTATGCACTCTACTGCGTTGTAACCACACTGCATCTATGATGAATGCATACACACTGTTTGTTTGTAAGCACACAGGCGATCTAATCTTACTTTCTCCCGCCTCTTCCCTCACCCCATCTACGGCCCCTCCTCCCCCTTCAACAACAAGCAGGGACATGCACGGGTGCGGCCTATCAGGCTCCATTGCGGCCTCCATAGGGCAACTCACAACTATGTTGCAAAATACGCGTTTCACGTACCAGTCGCGTACGTACTGTACGCTCACGTACGTACGTGATACGGGCGATTTCAGCCCCACGATACGCTCGAAATACGGTCGCCCGGGCAGGTGAAAAAAAGTTCCGGGCAGGGAAAAAAAGTATGGGGGGGTGAGTCACGCTGCCTATGTTCATTTTGACCTTGTGCAGTTGGTTTTTTGAAATGCTGTCGGGACGGATGGGAACCTTGAAATGCTTGAAGACGACATGCGTACTATCCTCCTCCAGCCATTGCGCCTCCGAAGTCGAGGCAGAAGGATCGGTATGCTGAGTAGACGGACCAGAAGGCTGAGTGTGGTTAGAAGGGACTGGAGTAGACATAGCTCAACACTGAACTGAACAGGAATGAGAGATGTGTTGTGGTGGGGTCAATTATACCTACCACGAATTGGTTGTGGGGTGGGGGACGTGCTCTGGTTGGTCACGAGTTGTTGGGGGTGATTGGGCATTGTTGAGTTTCGTGGGGTGAACGTGGCGATTCGGTTTTGCACGTCCACAGGTTGGAAAAACGCGACCCGAAATGTCGGAATACGTGCGTACGGAAAAAGCGCGAAGTTTATTTTTTTTTGGGAATTTTTTTTGCCCTGCCCGAATTCACGTATCGCGTATTTGTCCCCGTTTCACGTTTTCCCGTTTATACGTGAACGCATATACGCGATACGTTAAATTTCAAAAGCGTATAGTGCAATATAGACTCACAAGCCTCAGATACTTCCTCATCAACCAGAAAGCCTCTTCCTTCTCCCAACCCTCCTCCCTTGGACCATGCAGGGACATGCACAGAAAGGGTGCGGCCTATCAGGCTCCATTGCGGCCTCCATAGGGCAACTCACAAGCCTCAGATACTTCCTCATCAACCAGAAAGCCTCTTCCTTCTCCCAACCCTCCTCCCTTGGACCATGCAGGGACATGCACAGAAAGGGTGCGGCCTATCAGGCTCCATGCCGACCACCATTGTTCGTTCGGCTCACCAGCATGAAATATTGCCCTGTCCTCCCCTCCTCCCGCCCCCGTCAATGACACACAGGGACATGCACGGGTGTGGCCTATCCGGCTCCATCCCATCCACCATCGGCCGTCTCACCAGCCTCAAATACTTCCTCGTCAACCAGAACCGCCTCTCGGGCTCCCTGCCTGCACAGATTGGCACCCTCCCCCAGCTCTACATGCTTGACGTCATGGACAACCAGCTGGAAGGACCGCTACCAAAGTTCGAGGGTGCCAAGGAGCTCAACCACCTGTGAGTTTCGCCCACACTGACCGCGCTGCCAGCAAAGATTGGCACCCTGCCCCAGCTCTACATGCTTGACGTCATGGAGAATCAACTGGACGGGCCGCTGCCAAAGTTCGAGGGTGCAAACGAGCTCGCCCACCTGTAAGGATCGCCCTCCCTCCCCCTGCTGCCTGCACAGATAGGCACCCTCCCCCAGCTCTTCATGCTTGACGTCATGAACAACCAGCTGGAAGGACCCTTGCCGACATTTGAGGGCGCAAACGAGCTCAACCACCTGTGAGTGCCGCGTCGCCCACCCTGCCTGTGCTGACCGTGAGTGTCGTCATGTCTCTTTCCCCTCCCACGCCTCTACATGCTTGACGTCATGCACAAGCACATGGAAGGGCTCCCTGCCCGCGTCCCAGGGTGTAAGCCAGCTCGCACACCTGTGGGTGTTACCCATCCCCACTTGCTCCCACCTCTCCTCTCCCATACGCATACCCATTTCTTCTCTCCCGTATTCCCCTCTCCCCCTTTTCTGCCCCCTCGCCTTCCTCCCCTTCCCTTCCCCTTTATTTCCTGCGCCCCCCCCTGGACCCCACTCCCCCACTACATGAGTCGAAATCTGTTCTCATTCCCTCTCACCTTTCCCTCCACTTAAGTGACTTTGACTCGACTCAAAATTTCCCTACCCTCCCTTCCCCTTCTCCTCCGGCCCCATCCCCTGGAACCCACTTCTCCACTACATGAATCGCAATCTGTTCTCATTCCGTCTCACCTTCTCCTCCACCTTTTCTTTCCAACTCTTTCCCTTTCCCTCCACTTACTTCGCCCTCTCCCTCCCGTTTTCTCACTTCTCGATCCTCTCTTCCCTAACCTCTCTCTCCCCGCTCTCTTCCCTCTCTCCCATCTCCCTCTTCTCCCCCTCCCCCTCCCCCTCCCCCTCCCCCTCCCCCTCCCCCTCCCCCTCCCCCTCCCCCTCCCCCCTAACTTCCTGCCCCCTCCCCCGCCCTACAGCCACATGAGCAGCAACCTCTTCACGTCTGTTCCAGCGGAGATCAGCAGACTGCCGAAACTGATGCACCTGTGAGTCGTGGTGAGGGCAAGAATGTGTGAGTCGTGCTGAAGGCAAGCATTTGTGAGTCGTGCTAAGTAATGTGTGAGTCATGCTAAGTAATGTGTGAGTCGTGCTAAGTAATGTGTGAGTCATGCTAAGTAATGTGTGAGTCGTGCTATTAATGTGTGAGTCGTGCTGAAGGCAAGCATGTGTGAGTCGTGCTGCTAAGTAATGTATTCTGTGATTCCCAACCTCAAACAATGTCACCCATGCTATTCAATTGGCTGGGTCATACATGGAATGTAGCTAATCCGTTTTATTCACCCGTGTTGGATTCTTGTCTGCCTGCTGCCGCCTTGTGTTGTGAGGCAGGCTGATGGACAGCAATCGTCTCACCCATGACTTTCCACTCGCTTTCAACAACACGAACCTCACTGTCATGTACGTGTGTGCAAAACGTTCTCCACATGTGTGTGTTTGTGTAGCCATTTTGAGTCGACTCCAAACTCCACTCGCTTTCAACAACACCAACCTCACTGTCATGTACGTGTGGGGGATGCATTTTCCACAGCTAACATGTCTTCACTCAGGCTAGGAGTCTTGTCAGAAAAGCTGTTAAGAACCGGGTGTGCAGTTAGCAAGAACCGATCACTTTGCATGCATAGAGCAGTCGCTCGCACCACCTGTAAGTTGCTTGTCCGTCTCCTGCTGTTTGAGCTGACGTTGAGTCGAAAATGCTTGTATTCCACAACTCAAAGTTGTGCTTGCACCACCTCATTATGTTGCTGCTCGCGTCACCTGCTGGTGATAACTATTTTCTTTCAAACTAGAATTGTTTATCTTAGCTCGTCTTGTTCCGCTCGTCACTACGTGCCTCCATGTTAAAGCAAAGCAACTGCCTTTCTCACCCCCTAGTGTGGCCCGTTTTTTTCTCTCCCACCCTCTCCTACCCTCTCAGGCTTTCACCCTAAATCCCGCCCCACCAAGCAAGCAACTGCTGTAGTCACCATAATCCATTGGCCTTGGCCTCCTGTCCTCCACCTTCTCCCCTCCTTTCTCTCCTGTCCATTGGTCTTACCCTCCTTTCCTCTCTTCCTACCAGCAATCGCAGCTGCCACTTGATGCTTTAACTTGACCCTCTCGCCTCCTCCACCTCTCACTTCTGCTCCCTTGCCTGCTCCCTCCACTTCCTCCCCAATCCGTTCGCCCCCACTCATTTCCCTCGCTTCTCCCTTTCCCACCCCCCCTTTCTTCCCCAATCCCTTCCTTCCCTTTCGCCCTCTCTTCTCTTCCCTCCCAATCCATTCCCTTCCCCCCTGCTCCCATCCCTCCCCTCTCCCTGCCTCTCTAACCAACCAGCTACTGGAGCAACAACATAATACCCGGCCCCTTCCCCTCCACCTGGTTCTTCCCCAAACTCAAGGACTTGTAAGTCGTTCTCCGACTCACTCAGGAACTTGCAATTTCATGATATATTGCATTTTAAGTCGACTCAAGACATTAACTTAGTGCAGAGCAGGGTTTATGGCGCAGCTGTTAGTTATTGCCTTGCTTGATTTGATCCTTGCTTTGTTTGTAGATGTGGGTATTGTATGTTACTATGCCCACATGTGCATGCGTGGATGTGTCTATTTGCATGCGTGTGTGTATGTGTCCATATGCATGTGCATGTGCATGTGGATATGTGTTTCCCTGCAAGTGTGCATGTGTTCATGTGCATGCATCATCTGTCTATGTTCATGTGTGTGTGTGTAATGCATGGCATGAATCTGATGACTGCATACGAGTCTGCTTGTGCATGAATGTGTGTGTGTGGGCGCATGTGCATGTGTATGCATGCGTGCATGTGTGTGCATGGATGCATGTGTGTGCATCCATGCATGTGTGTGCATTCATGCATGTGTGTGCATGGATGCATGTGTGTGCATGCATGCATGTGTGTGCATGCGTGCATGTGTGTGCATGCGTGCATGTGTGTGCATGGATGCATGTGTGTGCATGCATGCATGTGTGTGTATGCATGCATATGTGTGCATGGATGCATGTAAGTGTCTCCCATCCTCACACAGTCTCTTCAGCAACTGCTCTCTTCCGAAACAGCCTCTCCCTTCCTTCCCTATCTCTCGCAACCTCTCCAACCTGTAAGCCTGCTTTTGAATCCCATCCATCCATCCATCCATCCATCCATCCATCCATCCATCCATCCATCCATCCATCCATCCATCCATCCATCCATCCATCCATCCATCCATCCATCCATCCATCCATCCATCCATCCATCCATCCATCCATCCTGTCACTTGCCCCTCATCCATACCCATAAAAAACACTTACATGATCTGCCTTTTTCCGTTTAAGATAACTTTTCCAACCCCTTTCTCCTTTATCTGGTTTCCATTCACATCCCAACTTCCACACCAACCTTCCTCCACTTCCCTCCTCTCGCACCTTACCATCTAAGAGTTATACGTAGCACCTTACCCTCTCAAACTCTTTGTCTACTAAATTGATTATTGATTATTGATTATTGATTATTGTTTCTCCTCCCCTTGACCCCCCTCTTCTCGCCCACCCCGCATCGCCTCTCAGCGACCTGAGCAGCAACAGTTTCACAGGATTCATTCCAGGCTCTCTGTTTTGGCAGCACCCCAACCTCGTCAACCTGTCCGTTCATCTCTTCTCTTTGTGTTTCCTTCCGGTTTTGCCTTCTCAAGACACGGGTCAATAGCATTTAAGCAAAACTTCAAACCTCAATTTTCTGCAGTGTTTGACTGAAAGTTCTGCTGAAAGTTCTGCAGCAACGTGTCAGCAAAGTTGTCACCGTCACCTGTTCGCTCATGCATTCCATCAGGCTACTCCTTTTTGTGCCTTGCACCCCATGCCACGCCATGCACCCCATGCCATGCTCCCCGTGCCATGCACCCCATGCCATGCTCCCCGTGCCATGCACCCATGCCATGCACCCCATCCCATGCACCCTATGCCATGCACCCTCTGCTATACACCCCATGCCTTGCACCCCATGCCATGCACCCCATGCCATGCACCCCATGCCATGCACCCCATGCCATGCACCCCATGCCATGCACCCCATGCCATGCACCCCATGCCATGCACCCCATGCCATGCACCCCATGCCATGCACCCCATGCCATGCACCCCATGCCATGCACCCCATGCCATGCACCCCATGCCATGCACCCCATGCCATGCACCCCATGCCATGCACCCCATGCCATGCACCCCATGCCATGCACCCCATGCCATGCACCCCATGCCATGCACCCCATGCCATGCACCCCATGCCATGCACCCCATGCCATGCACCCCATGCCATGCACCCCATGCCATGCACCCCATGCCATGCACCCCATGCCATGCACCCCATGCCATGCACCCCATGCCATGCACCCCATGCCATGCACCCCATGCCATGCACCCCATGCCATGCACCCCATGCCATGCACCCCATGCCATGCACCCCATGCCATGCACCCCATGCCATGCACCCCATGCCATGCACCCCATGCCATGCACCCCATGCCATGCACCCCATGCCATGCACCCCATGCCATGCACCCCATGCCATGCACCCCATGCCATGCACCCCATGCCATGCACCCCATGCCATGCACCCCATGCCATGCACCCCATGCCATGCACCCCATGCCATGCACCCCATGCCATGCACCCCATGCCATGCACCCCATGCCATGCACCCCATGCCATGCACCCCATGCCATGCACCCCGCACCATACACTTTGTGCCATGCACTTCGTTCACAGCAACCGATCTCTCTTGCTGTGTCTTTCCATGACCCCTCCTCTTTCTCTCCTTCCTCCCTCCATCGCCAGCAATTTGGCCAACAACGATCTCAATTCGAGCTTCCCTCCAGCAATCGCCAATGCTACCAACCTGCAATCCGTGTGAGTGGGAGAACTGCCAACCTCAACCTGTATATTTGGCATAATTATCACAGCTGGTATTATCAGCATTTTTGGAAAGTGGAGAAATTCAGGAGCCAAGGTACGAAAGTGTATGATGTACAAATCCTGGTACAGCAAGGTTACAGCAGGTTGGGGTGAGGTGAAGCATCAACTGAACCTAGGGTGTGTTCAGCTTAGGATGATAACAGGAAACTGGAATTAGGCTGAAACTGAAAAAAACTAGCTCTTTTTATAGATTTGCAAGATAATCAACTAGAGCCACAACAATAGCAGAGCGAGCATCATGTTTTGCTGATGTGGCCTCCTCCCTATTATTTCTATTCTCTCATTTCCTTCCCATCGGCCTTCTCCCCTTCCCATTGCCTCCCTCCAACCGAAGTCACCCCTTTCATGGTTCCGAATGTGACTGGTTCCCCTCCAAAGGGGAAAAACGAACCATAGTTGTTCCCCTCATTCCCCTGTTTCCACCAACCCCCCAGCTTCCTATCAGGCAACCAGCTCAGCGGCCCCCTGCCGGACCTCTCGTCACTGCCCAGCATCGTGTCCGCCTCTTGCTCATTTCCTCACACCATCCCTCATTCCCTCCACCAACCCCCCAGCTTCCTCTCAGGCAACCAGCTCAGCGGCCCCCTGCCGGACCTCTCGTCACTGCCCAGCATCGTGTCCGCCTCTTGCTCATTTCCTCACACCATCCCTCATTCCCTCCACCAACCCCCCAGCTTCCTCTCAGGCAACCAGCTCAGCGGCCCCCTGCCGGACCTCTCGTCACTGCCCAGCATCGTGTCCGCCTCTTGCTCATTTCCTCACACCATCCCTCATTCCCTCCACCAACCCCCCAGCTTCCTCTCAGGCAACCAGCTCAGCGGCCCCCTGCCGGACCTCTCGTCACTGCCCAGCATCGTGTCCGCCTCTTGCTCATTTCCTCACACCATCCCTCATTCCCTCCACCAACCCCCCAGCTTCCTCTCAGGCAACCAGCTCAGCGGCCCCCTGCCGGACCTCTCGTCACTGCCCAGCATCGTGTCCGCCTCTTGCTCATTTCCTCACACCATCCCTCATTCCCTCCACCAACCCCCCAGCTTCCTCTCAGGCAACCAGCTCAGCGGCCCCCTGCCGGACCTCTCGTCACTGCCCAGCATCGTGTCCGCCTCTTGCTCATTTCCTCACACCATCCCTCATTCCCTCCACCAACCCCCCAGCTTCCTCTCAGGCAACCAGCTCAGCGGCCCCCTGCCGGACCTCTCGTCACTGCCCAGCATCGTGTCCGCCTCTTGCTCATTTCCTCACACCATCCCTCATTCCCTCCACCAACCCCCCAGCTTCCTCTCAGGCAACCAGCTCAGCGGCCCCCTGCCGGACCTCTCGTCACTGCCCAGCATCGTGTCCGCCTCTTGCTCATTTCCTCACACCATCCCTCATTCCCTCCACCAACCCCCCAGCTTCCTCTCAGGCAACCAGCTCAGCGGCCCCCTGCCGGACCTCTCGTCACTGCCCAGCATCGTGTCGCTCTCCCTCTTTGACAACTCCCTCTCCTCCATACCGCCCGCTATGCTCGCCAAGAGCAACAACATCACACTGCAGTGAGTGTGGTGTGCCGCTCCCTCTACCCTGCTGCCCTCTCTCCCTGTTGGACAACTCCCTCTCCTCCATACCGCCCGCCCTGCTGGCCAAGAGCGACAACATCACGCTCCAGTGAGTCTGCCGCCGCCTCTACCCCGCTGCCCGCTCTCCCTGTTTGACAACTCCCTCTCCTCCCTGCCGCCCGCCCTGCTGGCCAAGAGCAACAACATCACACTGCAGTGAGTGACTCCTTTCAGTGTGCCTCTCTCCCTCTCCACTGTGCCGCCCGCCATGCTCGCCAAGACCAACATCAGTTTCAAATAAGTAGCCTTTCTACTAGTGTGCCGCCCTCTTCTGTGTCGGCCTTTAGTGTGCCGCCCGCCCTTCTCGCCAAGACCAACCTCACTCTCTAATGAGTAGCCTTTCTAGTGTGCTGCCTCCGTCATCCTCCTCGTCATCCTCCTCGTCATTCTCCTCGTCATCGTTCTCGTCATCGTCCTCGTCATCGTTCTCATCTTCCTTGCCTTCTTCCTCGTCATCATCATCAACAATACCTTGTTAGAATTCTCAAAAGGGATTGCAGAGGTCATCGCTGACGAAAACTCGCCAGAGTTGTCGCCAGTAAAGACCTCTGCAAGCCCTTTCGACATGAAACCCTGGGTTGATTGCTTGCCCCTTTCCCCCCTCCATCCATTTCTCTCCCACCGTTCCACCCTCTCTGTTCCACCCTCTCGGTTCCACCCCTCTCCTCCGCAGGCTTTTCAACAACGACCTCTGCAAGCCATTCAATCCAAACTACACGCAAGTCTGCTCCCCCACAACCTCCCTCCCTCCCTCAGTACACATTCCCTCCCCCTGCCCCCCCATACACCTCCCCCCCCCCCTTCACCCCCAGGCTTTTCAACAACGATCTGTGCAAGCCATTCAATCCAAGCTACACGCAAGTCTGCTCCCCCCCGACCCCTCTCACCCAATACACCGCCCCTGCTTTCTGCGACGGTCTCGCCTGCGATAACGACCTCTACAGCCCTAGCGCACCGCTCTATAACGAGTCACACTCCTGCGTGTGCGTATCCCCGTTAAGAGTCGACCTGGAGCTGTTTATATCGGATTTCGTGGTGTACCATGAGGCGCTGGTGCAGCAGCTGGAGCAGCGGATCTACTCTGAGCTCACCAGCAAGTCCCACATCAACATCACCAGGCCGCAGGTGAGTTGCCTAGGAGGACAGGCAGACAGATTCTGGGTTTACTGTCTGTAGGTCTGGGCTGTAGGCGGAGGAGCAGAGAATTCACTCTGAGCTCACCAGCAAGGCGGATTCAACATCACCCTGCCGCAGGTGAGTCACCATTCACATGTCTGCTAACTTTGTGTTGAGTCAATTAAAAGCTATAGCAGAGGATCAGAGGAAGCAAAGCTGGAGCAGCGGATCCCCTCTGAGCTCACGAACAAGTCTCAGATCAACATCAGTGGATAAGCCACCTTCAATATCAGCAGATAAACCACCTTCAATATCAGCAGCGCACAGGTCCGTATGCCAGTCACATGCATCTCTCCCCTTCCCTCCCTCCCTTTTCACCCAACACTCCCCTTTTCCTCCCCTTCCGCACTCCACTCCCCTCCCCGTTCCCTTCCCACCCATCACTTCCCTTACCCTACCACCCACCAGGTCCTTGTTTCTTCCATCAACAGCCCTGCCTATCTCTCCTCCCTCGCCTCCTCCTTCGCCTTGGAGCATATCAACCACCAGTCCACGCTCATCATCACCTCTCTCTCCTACCCTCCCCACCATGCAGGTCCTTGTTTCTTCAATCAACAGCCCTGCCTCTCTCTCCTCCCTCGCCTCCACCTTCGCTTCAGAGCACATCAACCACCAGTCAACGCTCATCATCACGGTCCTCTTCTTCCCGCCGGGTGGCGATGGCAGCTGGTACCCCCCCGACACACCGCAGGCCATCCGCAGCGCCCTCACCACCAGGGACCTTGCCGTGCGCGTCGCTCTCGGCAACTTTGGCCTCTTTCGAGTGGTTGGATTCTACGGCCCTGCACGTGAGTTTGCCGTATGTGTTTGCCGCATGTGAGGTGGATTGGAGTCTGTTTTTTGGAGAGACACACCGCAGGCCATCCGCAGCGCCCTCACCACCAGGAACCTTGCCGTGCGCGTTGCCCTTTCGGGTAGCAGGCTTCTATGGCCCTGCGTGTGAGTTTGTCTTTTGTTGTATGTGCAGGTCTGGCACCTCCGCTGGGCTGAGCGCCTTGCCGTGTGCCCAGAGTATGTTCCCTCTGAAACACACCTTGTCTGGGCTGAGAAAGGGTGCCCTTATTGCCATCTCCGTGTGCCTACCCTGCTCCTCTTCTCGCTTTATCCAACTCAACCAACCATTCCAGCTGGTTTTTCCTCCCCTTCTTTCCTTCCAATCGCAGCCCTCACAGCAGACCTCTTCTGGGCTGAGCATTGGCGCCATCGTTGCTATCTCAGTGACTTTTGAGTCGACTCAAAAGTCACCTCGTTACTATGGCACACGGCACCCTCACAGCCTTTGGCGCCATTGTTGCTATCTCAGTGACCATTCTCCTCTCTTCTGTTTCGCCCTTCCCTTTTCCTTTGTTCTCTCCTTCCCACTACAGCCTAAACCCCCTCATCGCAGCAGCAGACTGCTTCCTCTGGGCTGAGCACGGGCGCCATCGTTGCCATCTCAGTGTGCCTTGATAGAAATGGAGCTCAAGTGATTGATTAGTAGAGAAAACCCTAGGCCTTAAGTACAAACAAGGTTGGGTTGAGCAAAGCTAGGGAAAGGATGGGATGGGAATCCTAGCAAATCTCCAATTGGTGAGTTGGCAGATTTTTTGGATTACGAGGGAATCCCAACCAGATAGGGTTGGGATCACAATCTACACCCAACCTACAAATAACCTACAAGATATAGAATATAGTACACATAAGTGTTGACAGCCTATTTCTAACATGCCTCCCCTCCTCTCTCTGCGCCCTCACTTTCCAACCCAATCAACTGCCCCACCCCAACAGCCTAAACCCCCTCATCGCAGCAGCAGACTGCTTCCACTGGGCTGAGCACAGGCGCCATCGTTGCTATGTCAGTGTGCCTCCCCTCCTCTCTCTGTGCCCTCTTTTTCCAACCCAGCCAACCACCCCACCCCAACAGCCTACACCCCCTCATCGCAGCAGCAGACTGCTTCCACTGGGCTGAGCACAGGCGTCATCGTTGCCATCTCAGTGTCCCAACCAACCCTCCTTTGTCTTTGCCCTCTCTTTCCAACCCAACCAACCACCCCACACCAACAGCCTACACCCCCCCGTCACCGCAGCAGACTGCTTCTTCTGGGCTCAGCACAGGCGCCGTCGTTGCTATCTCAGTGTCTCTATCTTTCTTTCCGTGTGCCCTCTCTTTCATCCAACCCATCCAACCGCCCCACAGCCTACACTCCCCCACCATCGCAGCAGCAGACTGCTACCTCAGGGCTGAGCACGGGTGGCCATCACAGTGTCTGTCTCCTTCTTTCTGTGTGCCCTCTCTTTCCTCCAACCCATCCAACCGCCCCACAGCCTACACTCCCCCACCATCACTTCAGCCGTCCTCGTCTGGGCTGAGCACGGGAGCCATCGTGGCCATCTCAGTGTGCTCCGCTGCTGTTGCTATCGCCCTCATGGTGCTGCTTCTCATGCGACCCTGGGAGAGGCGAGGTGAGTGGGGGAGAAGCGAGGTGAGTGGGGAAGAAGCGAGGTGAGTGGGGAAGAAGCGAGGTGAGTGGGGGAGAAGCGAGGTGAGTGGGGAAGAAGCGAGGTGAGTGGGGAGAAGCGAGGTGAGTGGGGAGAAGCGAGGTGAGTGGGGAGAAGCGAGGTGAGTGGGGAGAAGCGAGGTGAGTGGGGGAGAAGCGAGGTGAGTGGCTTTTGAGTCTGCTCATGTGGTCTACTCATGCGAACCTGCTGTTGCTATCGCCCTCACTGTGCTTCTTCTCATGCGACGACCCTGGGAGAGGCAAGGTGAGCAGGAGAAGTAAGGTGAGAGGGAGATGAGAGGTGAAGAGGAGTAAGACAGGTGAGTGGGAGGAGAGAGGTGAGGGAGCGACATGATAGGGAGGAAAAGAGTGGAAGAGAGGAGAGTTTAAAAAATATAAAAGAGGTGAAACAAGAGGAAGAACCAATAGATTCCACTAGATGAAAGGGGGGAGATCGGATGCGAGATTGGCCTTACTCTCCTCGACAACTTTTTGCCGCTCCCACTTTTCCCCCGCAACAACATCAACAGGTGACCTGTGGAGCTCAGAGGACTACAGGGCGATATAGGGGCTGCAAATGCTGGGGGTGCACCGGTGCAAGCTGAGGCAATGTGTGTGCATTACCCACCCCTCCCCCCCTTCTTCACCCATCCCCACCCCGTGCCACCTCTGTGTTCTCCTACTACACAAGCAAGAGACCTATGGAGTTCAGAGGACTACAGGGCGATAGAGGGGCTGCAGATGCTGGGGTTGCAGTGCACCGGTGCAAGACCGAGCTGACCTGAGGCTATGTGTGCTTGCTCTCCACCCCTCCCCACCGCCAACCACCGCTCTCCACCGCTTCCCACCTTTGTGTTTTCCTGCAACAGGTGGCCTGTGGAGTTCGGATGACTACAGGGAAATAGAGGGGTTGCAGGCACTGGGTATGCACCGGTGCAAGCTCAATGAGAGGCACTATGTCCTCTCCACCCCTCCCCTCCGCCACCCACCGTTCTCCACCGTTTCCCACCTCTGATTTACTATGTAACAGGCGACTTGTGGAGTTTGGAGGACTGCAGGGCGATAGAGGGGCTGCACATGCTGGGCGTGCACCGATGAAAGCTCAAGGAGGGACATTGTGTGCTCCCCATCCTTCCCACACCCCCATCACCCCTCTCTACCGCCTTCCACTGCTTGAAACAACTGTGTACTCCTGCAACAGCGGACCTGTGGAGTTCAGAGGACTACAGGGCGATAGAGGGGCTGCAGGTGCTGGGAGTGCACCGGTGCAAGCTCAAGCTGAGGCACTATGTCCTCTCCACCCCCCCCCCTCCCCCCCCCCCACCGCCACCCACCGTTCTCCACCGCTTCCCGCCTCTGAGTTTTCATATAACAGCGGACCTGTGGAGTTCAGAGGACTACAGGGCGATAGAGGGGCTGCAGGTGCTGGGAGTGCACCGGTGCAAGCTCAAGGAGATTGCAGATGCGACCCAGGGGTTCAAGACGCTGCTTGGGGAGGGCGGATACGGACAGGTATGATTGTGAGAGGAGGGCGCAACTGGGAAGAGACAGGCCAAAACAGCTAGATACGGGCAGGTTTGATGGTGTGAGGGGGAAGGTCGCAAATGGAGGGTACGGGCAGGTGGAAGTTTAGGGCTTCAAGGCACTGCTGCGGGGAGGCGGATATGGGCGGGTATATGGAGAGGCATGTCTGTGAGAGTGAAGGGGTAGGATATCGACCGGTACAGACAGGTACAGACGGATATGGACAGGTATGACAGTGATTGGGGTTGGTTTCTTTCTATGCCTCTTCCCATGACTTGGCCCATGGTCCCTTATTTCATGAACCTCACACCTCTTTTCCCCCACACCTCTCTTTTCCCCACACCACTCTTTTCTCCACACCTCTCTTCTCTTCTTGAGTCACTCAAAATCTTCTCTGTTCTCTCCACATTCCTCTGCTCCTCCCCATGGCTGACTGCCACTCTCAGGTGTACAGAGGAGTGCTGGAATCAGGGGATGTGGTGGCAGTGAAACGAGCCAAGGGGCACGTGAAGGTGGGTCAGGAATGTCAGGTGAATCTTCAGGTCGGTATTCAGGTGGGTCATCAGGTGGGAGCACATGTTTGCATATGTTTCGTCCACGTGAGTTAATGCAATGCAACCTTCGATTGAGGGGGGTGTACACGCGTCTCCTTTGGATACTGACACCTCAGCTCCTCGTCTCCTTTGGATGCTGACACGTCAGCTGGTCACCTCCTATGGATGCTGACACGTCAGCTGGTCACCTGCTATGGATGCTGACGCGTCAGCTGCTCGTCTCTTGAGAAACTCAATTGCAGTTGTGGAACGGAGATTGCAACGAAATTCAGTTGCTATCGGCCATGTGCCATCGCAACCTGGTGGCTCTGCAGTGCTCTGCGCCTCTCCCACTCCCTTTCTCTCTTCATTCACCCTTTCCCCTCTCACATTCCCTCCCCCTCTCGCATTCCCTCCCCCTCTCACATTCCCTCCCCCTCTCGCATTCCCTCCCCCCCCTCTCGCATTCCCTCCCCCAGATGTGTGGCACTGAGTTTCGCAACGAGATTCAGCTGCTCTCAGCCGTGCGACATCGCAACCTGGTGGCTCTCAAGGGCTTCTGCGTGGAAGCAGGCGAGCAGCTGCTGGTGTATGAATTCATAGAGAGGGGGACACTTGAAGACATGCTGCGAGGTGAGGAGCACTAACAGGGGAGTGAAGGAGTGGGAGGGTAACTGAAGGGCTTCTGTGTGGAAGCAGGCGAGCAGCTGCTGGTGTATGAATTCATAGAGAGGGGCACACTTGAGGACATGCTGCGAGGTGAATAGAGCTGATGTGATTGGCATGTCGTGTGGAGTGCAGCAGAAGTAAGGGGAAGTGATGAGTGCATTCACAGGCTTCTGTGTGGAGGCGGGCGAGCAGCTGCTGGTGTATGAGTTCATTGAGCGGGGCACGCTGGAAGACATGCTGAGGTGAGGAGAAGTGGGGTGGTTGGCCTGTCATGTCGAGGGCCTGAGGGCATTCACAGGCTGCTCTGTGGAGGCGGGGGAGCAGCTGCTGGTGTACGAGTTCATTTAGAGGGGCATTCTGGATGATATGCTGAGAGGTGAGTGGATAGCCGAAGGGAGATTAGCACACTCAAGAGCTTCCCTGTGGAGCCCGGGGAGCAGCTGCTGGTGTATGAGTTTACAGAGAGAGGGACACTTGAAGAAATGTTGAGAGGTGAGTATTGAGGGGGAGGGGGATGGGAGGGAATAATGCCTCGGAAGTTGATGAGAAAACTCAAGGGCTTGTGTGTGGAGGCACGGGAGCAGCTGCTGGTGTATGAGTTTATAGAGAGAGGGGAACTCATGGACATGCTGAGTGAGCATGTATGAAGCCAGCAATGACGCAGCATTAGTGCCCTTTGCTGCAGAGGAGATGTGATGGGAGGACATTTCCTGTGCACCAAAGGGCGCCGTAAGAGGCTTGGGGGTAGAGAGACAACTTTTCAAGCGCTTAAGAGTCGTCAATTATACCAACCAACAACTCCCCATACCCTTTCTCTCCCCTTTGTGTGCGCCGTGCCGCCTGGCAGCGGACTCGAAGCACCCGCTGACGTGGCGGCAGCGCGTTGACATCGCGTGTGGCGCTGCGAGTGGGTTTGCGTACCTGCACCATCAAATCAAGCCGCCCATCATTCACCGGGATGTGAAGGTGTGTATGCAGAAACGGACATGCTCATGCATTTGGGGGCATGCAAGCTCGCATCGCGTGTGGCGCTGCGAGTGGGTTTGCATACTGCACCATCAGATCAAGCCGCCCATCATTCACCGCGATGTGAAGGTAGGGAGGGAGCATGCGTGCGTGAGTGTGAGAGTGGGAAGATGCACACATGCTCATCTGTGCACCTGTGGGGCAGAAGGTGGGTTTGCATACCTGCACCATCAGATCAAGCCGCCCACCATCCATCACGATGCGAAGGTGGGGAGAGGGAGGGTCCCCTTGTGTTGGAACATGCATGCATGCTCATATGTGTGCACGTGTGCAAGCTTACACTACCTGTGTGTGCGTGTGGGGGCATGCATGCTCGCTCATGCGTGTGGGGGCATGCATGCTCGCTCATGCGTGCGCTGTGCTCTTGCCGCCTGCATGCATGCTCGTGTAGGCGAGACGTACGCGTGTGTGTGCATGACACAACGTCCCACACACATGAGCATGTCTTAAAGTTGGCATTGCTGGCTGAACAGCCGGTGACCCTAAAGTCAAGATGGCAAATCTCCAAAGGCACATTCCCCCTGCCCCACTCGCCCTTTCTTCCCTGCCTCCTTCCCTCCTGCACCCTTTACCTTGCCTCTGCCACCTTGCCCCCTTGCCCCTTGTCCCCGTCCCCTTGCTCCCTGCCTCTGTCCCCTTGCCCCACCAGATGCCCAACATCCTCATCACTACAGGGCTCTAAGAGAAGGTGGCTGACTTTGGAATATCCGAGGTGTTGTAATTCCATATTTTATACAACATGCATAGGCTAGACTTAGATGTGTAGCACTCTTACAAAATGGGGGTTATTTAGTGTACCCTCCAACCACATTTTGTGGTTGGTGGAAAATGGTCCTTACCTCAGCCAATCCCAACCAACACACATTTTGTGGTTGCTTGGGCCACAAGCAAGCTCACCCATTGGCCAACTTATTGGCCAATAGGGTAAGCTTCCCTCTCACCTCTCCCTTGCTCATTGCTTGTACTGAAGAGCCTTTTGGCTCATTATTCAGTGTATCAATTCTTCTTTCTCACACGAGGTTGAATAGATCACCCCCCTTCCCCTGTCCCATTCCCCCTTCCCTTCCCTCCCCCTTTGCCCTTCCCCCTTTCCTATCCATTTTTCTCCCCTCTCTCCCCTCCCCCTCTTCTCCCACCAGACGGCCAACATCCTCATCACAGCAGGCCTCGAGGGAAAGGTGTCTGACTTTGGCATTTCCAAGGCTAAACGCATGCATGCCCCCCCCTGACTCCTTCCCTCTGTCCTTCCTCATCCCCATTTCCCCGTTCAATCTCCCAACCCCCCCCCTCAGACGGCCAACATCCTGATCACAGCAGGCCTCGAAGCCAAGGTGTCTGACTTTGGCATTTCCAAGGCTGTGCCTGAGGAGGCGGAGAGGGGGGGAAGGCTGGAGACGCAAGTGAAAGGGACTGTGGTGAGTGGAGGGGGGAAGGGAGGACGGGGGGTTTGATTGAGTATCTCCAAGGCTGTGCCTGAGGAGGCGGAGAAGGGGGGGAGGCTGGAGACGCAAGTGAAAGGCACTTGGTAAGTGGAATGGGGGGAGCGGCGATTGCAGGGAGGGACTGTGGGTGGAATCGTGAGGGCAGTTCCTGAGGAGGCGGAGAAAGGGGGGAGGCTGGAGACGCAAGTGAAAGGGACCGTGGTGAGTGCAGGGGGGAGGGGGGAGGGAGGGAGTGATCGAGAATTTCCAAGGCTGTGCCTGAGGAGGCAGAGCGGTGAAGCATGGATGCACAAGTGAAGGGAACAGTGGGGAGTGCAGGGGTGAGGGAGGTGGTAATTGTAGGGGTGGGGAAGGGAGGAGGAGGTGAGTAACCGAGTGTGTCCAATGTGGTTCCAGAGTAGGTGGAGAATGGTGGGAGGCTAGACGCGCAAGTGAAGGGGACGGTGGTGAGTGCATTGGTGGGAGTGGTGAGTGCATTGGTGGGAGTGGTGGGTGCAGGAGGGAGGGAGGAGGGAGGGAGTGACGGAGAACTTCTAAGGCTGTTCCAGAGGAGGTGGAGAGGAATGGGAGGTTGGATACGCAAGTGTGACTTTTCTTATTCGCCCTCAAACCCTTTCAAGCGCCAAAGGGGAGTGAGTGTGTTGATACAGGCGGTTCCAAATTCCTCTTTTCTTCCTCTCTTTTTCCCGTCCGCCTTGCCTACCCCAGGGCTATTTGAACCCACAGTATTTCCAGTGTGATTTACACACAGAAAAGAGTGACGTTTACAGCTTTGGCATTGTACTGCTAGAGCTAGCCACTCTCCTCTCATCGGTTTCCTCTCATTCTCCTCTCCCCTTTCGACTTGTCCCCTTCAGGGCTATCTGGTCCCTCAGTACTTCCAGTGTGATCTACTCACGGAGAAAAGTGACGTGAACAGCTTCGGCAACGAGCTGCTGGAGCTAGCCAACAGCCTCCTCTCTTGCCCCTCTTCCCCTCTTCTGGTGTCCCCCTTGCCCTGCCCACCTGTTTTCACTTCATGGTTATCTGGACCCTCAGTACTTCCAATGTCACCTACTCACAGAAAAGAGTGGCGTCTACAGCTTCGGCATTGTGCTGCTAGGGCTAGTCATTCTCCTTCCATCTGTTTCCTCTCAATCTCCTCTCCCCCTTGGACTTGTGTGCTCCTCTTCAGGGCTATTTGGACCCACAGTATTTCCAATGCGACTTACTCACGGAAAAGAGCGACGTGTACAGCTTCGGCATCGTGCTGTTAGAGCTAGCCACTGGTCTCCGCCCCGTGACCAACGGGGAGCACATCCGATCGATTGTGATCGATAGAGTTACCAACCACGGGGGTGTGTACAGTGTTATGGACCCAGTGATCAAAGCCATGTGGGAGGTACAGCAGAAGGCGGCTGCGGAAGGTAGCGGGGCGCGGGGGGGAGCAGGAGCGGGAGGGGGAATCGGAGCGGGAGGGGGAGTGAGGGGAGGAGAAGGGGGAGGTAGCAGTGGAAGGGGGGAGGGGGGGGTGAGTGAGAGCGAGCCTCTGGAGCAGACGTGTGGGAGTGAGGCTCTGGAGGATACGTTTGAGTGGTTCCTGCGGCTGGGAATGCGGTGCAGTCTGAAGCAGGCTCAGAACCGGCCCGACATGCACCAGGTGTTGAAGGAGTTGGAAGGGATCAAGAGGATTCTTGACTGTGTTACTGGCTCCCATGGCGGCAGTGGTGCTTCTGGCGGCGCTGCTGCTGCTGCTGGTGCTGCTGATGGTGCTGCTGGTTCTGCTGGTGCTGGTGGTGGTGACGGCAGCAGCAGGCGTGAGAATGGCAGATGGTCAACTGGAGAGCGGGATCTCTTTGGAGAAGTGAAGTCACAAGCTGGTAGATCATTCTGGGAAGAGGTATCTGCTGCCTCGGCGTCGAAAGGGCCGAGCAGGTTTAAGGAGGAAATTGCTGAGGAGATAGATGAGGAGGAGGAGGAGTCGTGGTTTGCAGCGCGGATGAGGAGGGAAGTAGGGAAGGGAGAGACGTCAAGCAGTGAGGCGGATGGGCTGCTGAACCACACGGTGACTTTCACAGGGAGTGAGCCGCAGATCAACGTGGTTCCGAGATGAACAGGAAAAGGAGGAGATTGCGGAGGAGATAGACGAGGAGGAAGAGGAGTCGTGGTTTGCAGAGCGGTTGAGGAGGGGGATGAAGAGGGATATGAAGGGAGAGACAGCGGGTAGCGATGGGGATGGGCTGCTGAACCACACAGTGACTTTCACCGGAAGTTAGCTGCAGATCAAAGTGGTTCCCCGGTGAAAGCAGATGGACGGGAAGAGAGGAGGGCTGCGGACAGCAATGTCATTGCAGCGATGAGGAAGGGCTGCTGAACCACACGGTGACTTTCACCGGAAGTGAGCCGCAGATCAAAGCGGTTCCGAGATGAGATGTGGAGGGGAGGGAGGGATGGAGGGGGGGTGGGAGAGTAGGGGGCAGCAGGGACTGGGGAGTGGGCAGGGGGGGATGGCAGGGAGGATGGGCTGAACCACACGATGGCTTTCAGAGGGAGTGAGCTGCTGATCAATGTGGTTCCCCCGTGAACAGGGGATGGGGGGCAGCATGGGGGGATGTCAAGCAGGGATGGGGATGGGCTGCTGAACCACATGGTGACTTTCACTGGAAGCGAGCCACGAGCAGGGAGGGAGGGGGGGAGGGGGTGGTGGGGGGGGAGGGATGGGAGGGGGAAGAGGGGCAGCATGAGGGGGGAAGGGGGAGGAGTAGGAAGGGAAACGAGTTGATTGCCATATTTATCTAAAACTATGGTCTCCCAGAACTTCAACCCGAGTGAAGGGCTCCTCTTGATATAAGCATTTTAAAGATCCTCCTTTTGTGTATACAGTCTTCCTAATTTTCTGTTCGCGTCATCTTTTAGAAGTTCGACTTTGATTCTCTATCGCGGTTTTTTGGTCGGACTCGATATCACACGTGCATCGCGTCAGACATTCGATCTGACGCGTCAATCTCGAGAATTTTACACAAAGCGCGAAGTTTCACATATACCAACGCAAGGGCGCTGTTCTGTAGGCGTTAAATTTCGAAAATCTGGGTTTGCGGAATCTTCGCTGATAAGTGGGTTTCTGCTTATCAAGGTTTGGTGATAAGCGAAGTCCTGCCAAACCTGTTCGCGCCAAATTTAACGCCTCTGCCTGCAGAACACCCACTTTTGGGGCGCACAAATTTAACCGTATGCAATGCAGGTTCGAAGTTGTTGCTTCGCCGGGCAAATGGTCGCACAACTTGTGCGGTGCTGATTCTACCTCGGGAGCTAGCATCAGCCTCCGCACAAGTTACGTGGGGCAGCAATTTCCGTGCAACGCAACCAGCGTGAATGCGCCTAGAAATTACACGGAAGGCCACAGCGGTCAAATTGGTGCGGCGACAATAACGCCTGCAGAACAACGCCAAGAACCACATCCTCCCCAACCCCCCCCCCCCCCCCCCCCCCCCCCCCCCCCCCTTCCCCCCTCAACCCCCACCAAAATTCAAATGTACGCTCTGGATCCCAGCTTTGTGCTGCCATTATAGCGATCACCCTAGTTCCGGGGTCCTATGTACGGGGGAATACAATACAACCCTTCACAAAAACAGAAAATAAGGGGCAAAAGGGTATAAGCCCCAAGGGCTGTCAATCTGCATCTCCATTTTCCAGCGTCCTAGATTCAGCCCTAGGAGTCCGAAAGGACTCTTTCCGGACGGATTCCGGACGTGCTGAAAAAGAGACTTTTTGGACAAAGGCCTGCTACATTACGGTGTACTTTTTTCGTCCGACCAAAGAGTCCTGCAAGAGTCCATTAGGACAGACCGTAATGCCTACTTTTATAATTAGGCGTCAAAATTGCGGGTTTAGGGGTCGAATGTCCGTTTGGAGTCTTTCAGGACACTTGTAAGACTCTTTACGGACAGTTTCCCATCTCGCCACAATCATATCCGTTTTGGATATACAAATACAAACGAGCAGCTTCCAGCTAAGATATCCCTACAACAATAATGGCAGGTTTATTGTCCACATTAAACAGCTTCGTTCTAAACAGCTCAATGCCAACTACAAACAATGCAAATAACTAAAACAGAACCACACCAGAAAGAAAAAAAAAACAAAAACAACAAGAAAACAAGGAACATAACTTTACAAAACATTTAAACAAAAAAAACCTTAAAAAAAAACCCCCACCCAAGGTAGACAATCATTTTGGCCCCCGTGCATGCCAACCCAGGGAGCAACCTCTCTACACCAGCCAAGGTTCATCCTCATCGGCCCCCTCACGAGCAGGGGGGAAACATCCCGGCTTAAACCTCTCAAACCCACACTCATTCACCCATAGCTTCATGTCTCCCCATCGAAACCCGCCCCGTCTCCTGTCATACCACCTCCCCCTTGACACACCCAACCACGTCGCCACCACATCCCAAACACGGGATGCTGTCTTCCGCATGCCCTCCTCGATGGCAAGGGGCCCCTGATCGAAGCACATGAGCTCCGACTGCATGTTGGAAAGACCATAATCAACCTGTGATCACATGCAAATCGCAGGCGTTAGAAATAGTGCGTGAGCTGCAAGGCCTTAATTGGACAACATGCAGTGTTTGAAAGCCCTAAACAGCCACCCTTACGCAAAACAGAATCCACGCGATGTGGTACGGAACAAGCACGAGCCCTTCCTCCCTGATCCACTCCGGATAAGCCAGCATGCAAGCCTCGAAGAAGAGCTTGGACGTGAAAGGCCTGCGGTCTCCATCCGCGTGGGACCAACGCGACAGGCCCGAGCTGTCGATCATGCGCCCTGTGATAGGGCAAATTAAAAGAGGGTGTGATAAAAAGGACCGGGGGCTTGTGACGATCGTGGCATGCAAACCGTAAAGCAACGATTGTGGATAATAAAGCGAAGATTCAGTGCAAGCGGGTGCCAAGTGCTATGGGTGCTGACAACCACATTCCCCAACAGTAGCCCGTTACCCACTTGGTGCCCAGCGCCTCCAGTACTCCGCTTTCACGTTCACAGGCAGAGCCAGCTTGTAAACCCCATTGACGGCTAGATTGACCCCCAACCCGTCCAGAATGTATCGTCGGGCGACAGTGGAGCTCTCGTTCTTGAACCTAGTCCACACCTTCGCCACTCTGCTACTGTAGTCCTTTGACTTCATTGCCCTCCGCACGTCCATGATTGTCACGTCCCAGTCATTCCGGAGCACAAGCCTCAGCATTTCATTCTTCACGGCATTCGAAGGGAAGTATGTCACTCCATCCCCCTCGCTGGTTCGCAATAGAAGCTCCATCGCCTCCTCGGCGTACTCCTGCAAAACGCCAGCAGAGCAACAAGTACGGGGGGGTCATGTTTCAGCATGCGGAATGGACTTACGGCAGTGGAACGAACGAACACGGGCTGTTGACTGTCATGTGACAACATAATCCTGTACCGTTAACACGTGGCCCAAAACACGTGTGTGAACAAACCTGGATGGCATATAACACTGACCGTAATGTCGTCATAGTCGGGAAACCCCTTTTTCCGAGGTCGTTCTGGATCCTCGGGGTCGAAGTCGAGTACCACCGTCACCAATGCGCCAGCACGCTCGCGCCGCACCCGCTTCCTGCCCACTTCCACCTCCACTTTGCCACGAGCTGACTGCCCGGCGCCCCCCTTTACCCCCCTGCTCCCCTCGTATGCTGCCTCTGTCCCCTCTGCGCCGCCTGAATCGTGTACTCGCCTCCCTGCCAGGGAGGCGTTCTGCCGAGGCGCGTACTTCCCCTTCAACTCGCCATGATTGTCCCTTTTGGTGAAAAGCCCTCTATTCAGGGGACCATCCGAACGGTGCTTCGTATCGTCAGCACCGCGGCCGCTTGTCTTCCTGGTCGATGGCTGCGGAGATATAGGTAACATGGGTGCACTTCCTCCCCTCCCATCTCCGCCCTCTACGCCCTCCCCTGGCTTGTGATGTATGCCTTCCGAAACTCTCACAGCCGGGCTCTGCTCACCAACACCTTCAGGAGGCTCATTTGCAGCCGCCGCCTCCTCAAGTTTACCTTTAAACGCACAGAACTCACCCAAAATGTCAAAGTCCTCGGTCACCTTCACCTTGTTTGATTCAGCCGGGCCGTTAGCACCTTCCCGGGATGCACACTTGGAGCGCAACGCATCCAGCATGCCTTGGAGCTGTTCCAGAACATCCACCGGCCGTCCACTCATTTCCCCACGAGAAGTCGACTCCTTGCGGCGATGAGTACTCCCTCTTCCACACGACGCTTGCATAGGCGACAACTGATGCTGCTCCGGGCTCTGCTCGCCAGATTCTCCCCGAACACACCGTCCGCTCTCTACTTTGACGGGGGTTTGGTTGTCAGGCATTGATGACCGAGCCGGCCCTGCATGCACCGACTTCTGAGACACACTCGGATTTCGCGGGGGTGAACATAAAAGTGGTTTAGAACTAGCCAGAGGGCGCCCATTCACGGCATCAGTATTCCCAGCTGGACCACTCGCCGCCGACACGCCCTTCATTCGACCATGGTCGGCCTCGTTGTTGACGTGTGGTCGCGGCACCTGCGAGCACGGCGGCGTCCTCTTGTCTGGGGGGGAGACTGTCGTAGCATGCAGGGGCGGAGCGTTGTCTAGGAGTGATTTCTGCTGAGATGCGCGGTGACTTGAAGCGGGTTGCGGGATGTGCACATCATTATTCGAATCAAAGCGCACATCGTGCGAGCGGACAGGAGTTTTGTCACTACTGTGCGCATGCAGATCTCCATCATGTCCTGGCTTGCCATTCGGCACGGTGTTACCAACCGACGTCTTCACCTCTACCACATCATCGTCCGAAGAGTGTTGATCCCGCCCGGTGGCCACTCCTGCCTCGCCTTTGCGCGGACCGTCTCCGCTTCCGTGTACGCCCTCACGCCCATGATCCACGTCTTCCTCATCCGTAGAATACGGGTCCACTCGTCGTCGGCGCGCATGTGACGGCCGACTCCCTCCAGGTACTACCCGACGGACCATCTCCATAGGTGCGACCGCGTTCGACTTGTCGGTGTCCTTCTTTTGCCTTTGCCCTCTACGTTTCTTCGTCGCTTTCCCGCCACGCTTCGGGGTCCCTGCAGGGTTGGCGTCAGTAGGGGGGGTGTTACCATAATCTGACAACGAAGCTACAGATGCGGACTCTACCCAATCCTCATCTGCACTGTCATCGTCGCTAGTGTCGGATTCCAGCTTTGAGGATGCCGAGTCCGCTGATTCTTCGACCGTAGCAGGGGGTGGGTCGTCTTTGTAGAGCGGCTCGTTGTAATAGAACCACGCGACGTAGTTGTCGTCCGCACTCGTGGGGCCACCCGCAACGGTCGCAACACTGGCTGGCGTTACATTGGAGAACCCTGTAAAACAGTCCCGCATGTCGGACTCTTAGGAATAGCGTCTCCTGATGCAGAGGAAACGTTGTGGCTATATGCTTAATAGTGGCAAGCGACATGCGCAACTCCTCACGAGGTTTCATACCTGACTGCTTAGGCGACTCGTTGCCGCCGTCGGTGTTGACGGCAACGTCCTCGAGTGGCTTTGACCGAGGGCGAGCATGTGCGCGCCGCTCCTGTAAAACGGATTCCGCAGTCTTTCCGTATGGTTGTGGTCTTCCAACCTTCGTCACTCCCGTACCAATGGTTCCAGGAAGCAAATGGCCCTTTCTGGTAGGGCGATTGCTACGGAAATCACGTACGAGGGCTCTAGTTTCCGCCACAGCCGCTAGGTGAGATTCTATAAGACCTTTACCACGCGGACGTTGCACCTCATACTCCGTCTCGTCTAGAACCTTCGTTGCCTTCCTCTCGCGTATAGGACGCCCAGGCGCATCCTCCATGGCCGATATTATATAAGCTCCCAGTTGGGTAGGTGTCCTCTTCGCTCTTACATTCTGTGTTATACCGACTGTTACAGCAGAAACCCGTCGCTCAATCACGTGAGAACATGAGGATCGTGCTCGTGAGACACCCCCAGCCGCTGATGATAATACTCGTCGGACACGCTTGGCCGTGGATCAAGCGGATACCCATCAAGGGTTCCAATAGCCTCGTCAAAGCGGGTAGCATCGTGCAGTTCAAGGGCGTTACGTGAGGCAGGCGTCGCCACGTGTGCGGTATGGAACAACTCTACGCACCCATTCGCCCTTTATGGATGCCCTGACACGCTGTCTTGCCACGTGTAGAACTTGGAAACCACTCGATGCTACTAGGTTGAGGGCTGTTCAAGTTCACCCACTACACCCACCACACCTCTACATGTCCGAATTGTGGTGTCTGGGTGCTGGTAACACCTGTATATTTTCGCAAATCTCGTCTACTCTGCCAACCTCTGCATCTCGGGGGTTGTTCGTGTTGATTTTTGCGAATCGTGCATACCGTATAATCCGAGGAACGATCAATGCCACAGCTCTCGGGCTTGTCGCCGCAGCATCGAGTAGCACGGTAACCATGTCAGAAGAACTAGGCAAGAATGATTGAAAGGAGAGAGAGGTTTGAACTAGCAGGCAGTTGAGTACAAATAGCAAACCCTAGATTGGGCTGTACTCGCTATAGAGTACCCCACTGCAGGCTAGACAATAATAGCATTCTGACACACCCCCATAGCCAAAGTGGGGTGTAATCAGCAGAGCAAGCAAAGCAGTACAAGCTCAGGGTGGATCACAATGTCACCACACATTCTGAGCACAAGTTCAAGAAGCAATAGTTTAAAGTTCACAGTTATGAGCAAAGCTAGAGGCAGTCACAGAGGGCAAGCGAGGAGGAGGAGGGCTGGCGAGAGGAGAGAAGATGAAAGGCGCCGACTGAAGCTGCAGACACACGGGCAACAGGAGCGGCGCGCACAGTGGCTACCGAGCGCACGAGGGCACCGGACTACGGGAGTATCTGGCTCCGCGGCTACGACGAGCACACACAGGAGCAACGGACCCACAGGCGACTGGCGAAGCAGGCTCGCTGGGCTACCGAAACGCGCGAGGGCATCCGGACTACTGGCGCTGCTGGCGTCACGACGGCTACCTCCACGCAATCTCCCCCGACCGTCCCACGCCCCTCTCACACACCCCCTGCTGACACCCTAGCTCCACTCCGACGGTACCCCCCTTAAACCCCAAACCCTAGGCTCCCACACACCACCCCCCTCAGCGGCAGCTGTAGCAGAGGGAGACGAGGGAGGAGGAGGAGCAGGGGGAGGAACTCACAACCGACACCCCCATAGCCGCCACCCCCACACTCTTCACCCCCAAACCCTAATTTAGGAGAACGGGCTGTAGGAGGGGTGAGGCGCCGGTAGAAGCACGGGGGACAGTGGAGAGGGCAGGAGCAGCGAGGAACGGGCCGCCCACGGGCCTGGTAGAGCCGCCCGAACCGCGCGCAGGCGGCCCGAGCCGCGCGCGGGCCTGGCGCTTCCCGTACGGGCCGCGCGCGTGCCTGGCGCAGCCCGTACGGGCCGCGCGCGGGCCTGGCGCAGCCCGTACGGGCCGCGCGCGGGCCTGGCGCAGCCCGTACGGGCCGCGCGCAGGCCTGGCGCAGCCCGTACGGGCCGCGTGCCGGGTGTACGGGCCGCGCGCAGGCCACGACGGGCGACGGGGGGCGACGCGCGGGTCCCCGTCGCCCGTCGCAGCGCCTCCCGGGGGCGACGTGCCGAGTGACGGGGCAGGAACCCGCCGCGCGCCTCGGGGCACACGGCGGGCAGAGAACCGCCGCGCGCCTCGGGGCGCACGGCGGGCAGAAAACCGCCGCGTGCCTCGGGGCGCACGGCGGGCTGAAAACCCTAGTTTCGACGCCGCGCGCCACGGGGCGCGCGGCGGACAGGGAGTAGCAGTAGCAGTAGCAGTAGCAGCGGAAGGCTTAGGTGGTGGGCCCACCCACAGGATCGACCCAGGAGGGTCGACCTGCTCTGATAGCATGTCAGAAGAACTAGGCAAGAATGATTGAAAGGAGAGAGAGGTTTGAACTAGCAGGCAGTTGAGTACAAATAGCAAACCCTAGATTGGGCTGTACTCGCTATAGAGTACCCCACTGCAGGCTAGACAATAATAGCATTCTGACAAACCATTCGTCATGTTCGAGGAGGGGAACCCTCCCCATGGACGTTCCGTAACCCAATGTTATCATAGTTTAACACCCCGCTCCCAACATCTATCCCAAAAACGTCCCCAACCACCCTTCTATCTATACCACACTACCAGATTGACTAGAACACCATCGCGCGATCGTAGGCGCGCCTAGTGACTCCTCGGCAGCCTCCCCGCCTCGTACCCAGTCCGATGGCCAGGCGCGATAATACCACTCTTACATTTGAAGAGTACTCGATGCCTTACCCGCTAGGAGGAGGATGGTTAACTATTGGAGCTGAGCAGGCAGGATCTCTCGTGGATCAAGAGTGGATTAGTGGCGACATCATAGACTGGTACGGCCTGTAAGTATCATATACCGTCCACATGGGCACGTTAATTCGAGCCTGTGAGTCGTGGGCATCTGGTAAAAGCATTGCTGACTACAGCGCCTACGTTTCAGGATGATGCAATACGAGCACGATCTGGAATGTCGCGAATGGCTGTACGTTTCAACCACGTTTTACCATGTCCTCACTCTGCCACACCGCGCCGGAACGAAACGCAACATCACTTACGGCGTAAACCTCCTGACCTTCAAATGGGTCTTAATCCCACTTCACATGGGGTACGTCATGGTTCTCGTGTAGTGTGGTGTCGACACAATGGCGTCCTGGCCCCATGTGATTGTTGCTGTTCGTATGTTACTGAAACGTTGACCCACGATCTCGGCAGGGATCATTGGAGCCTGCTCATACTCGACAATGAAGAAATTACAGAGGACACCGTAATACCACGACCTACCCGCATCCTGCACGCCGACTCGTTGGGTAGTCACCATGGCTTCTGGCCAGCTATACGAAGGTGTGGTGTTCATTCCAGTTAACATGTCTATTTCGTGTATTATGCAGCTGTCGGTTCTACATTGTTCTGTCTGCGTGACCCCGTGCTACCCTTCTCCAGGCATCTGCGTGGAGAACTCATTCAGCTGTGTCCCGGGACCATGGAGGAAACTGCAGACCAGTGGGACGCGGCAGTCGAATGTATCCCCATAGAGGTGGGAGGGTTAAATGCGTCAGCGTGTTCTTGTAGCCAGTTGTTTTGAGATCCCTACTGCTACATCTCATTCCCGTAATACAGGTTCCCCAGCAGACGAACTCGTGGGATTGTGGTATTTTCGTTATGAAGTTCATGCAGACTTTGATTGAGTCTGGCTTCAGGCAGCCCATGCTCATCGAACTCTATGGGTTTTCTTGGCAATGGAGGGCTGAGCTGTTGGAGGATTTCCAAGAGTGGTCTGATCATTTTGTGAGACATGCGTCACGCCTTAGGAAAGCCGCATGATGCTGGCATTGCAGACATATTACACGGCTCCCATGTACTAATATCAGTGCCGCACAACCTTCTCCTTGTCGTTGAAACATGGTCCACTGCTAACTGGGTACAGTTTGGCACCCATGGTTTAGATCCCTCGACAGGTTCTGGGTGGCCCGTTAGCTGTTTGATTTTGTGGATCATGCATCATTGAGATTTTGTGGATATAATGTTAGTGAGATTTTTATACTACATGTGCTCGCACTATACTTTACAAATAACTGTCTGGACAATCATCACCAACCGTAACACTGCACTCAACGGAAGGTTTACTAAAGGGTACATACCACCCATAACCAGACCCAGATTCAACCGAAACATTTCCCGCCAAACCACAACACCTCCGCTTCACCGCGTGTGTCGCGCTGGCTGGACTCACTTACCGTAGCTGATCGTTGTGCTAGAAGTCGAACAGCATCTTCGGGAGCGTGCCATGCGCGCCGGTAGAGTGAAGCCATGCCGAATGAAGGTTGTGATTTCTGTGGGCGGACTTTCAAGTCGTTTCAGAGACTAAGGACTCACCAGTGTAGCTCAAAGAAATGTCTCCGTGAGCAGGCTCGTCTAGCCATCCTGGGAGTCGACCATGGTCGTTTTTTCACGGACCGTATGAACGCGTATCTCGCATTTGACGTGGAGATGGACGGGGACAATGACGAAGATGAAGAAGACGATGATAGTTCGGAGGCAGGCGACGAACACGGCTGGATCGCGGAAGTTGAGGACCCTGGGGGAACGGAGGGGTCGGACATGGAGGAACGCACGCCGTCGTCCCCCGCAAGTACGGCGTCTGACAATGCTACGGCCGAACCAGATGAATCCGTGGCTGAGCCAGATATTCGGGAGAGGATCGCGTACATTGCGAGGAGATACTTCCTGCCGAATCAAGCCATTACAGACATCATCCAGCTGTTCAAGAACCGTACGTGGTCACCCCCGGATCTGGAGTTCTGGGAGTCTTACCGTGACCTTGAGGCTTTCGAGGAGGAATTGTTGGACATCGATGAGGAGTGGGAGAGTGTGGAACTAGAGCTGGCTGAGGATCATGGGGTCGTGATTCTGCGGTACCGCCCAGTAGGGCGTTTGCTGCCGGAGATGTGGAGGCGCATGTCTGCTCTTGAAGGCTTTGCGACAACACCGCAGACGGTGGAGGTGAACAACGAGCGTCGCTACTGCAGGGCGGTCGACAGCAACTGGTTCCATCTTGCCACGGTAGGCGCAAATGTGTTGAAGCTGCTTGTAGCGGTGGCGATATTTCGCCACATTTCCTCATGTCGTGCCGTGTTTGTTGCATGCCACGCATGCTACAGGAGAAGCTCAAAGGGGCAGGGATCGTGGCGGGTATTATACTGTTCAGTGATGTCACGCACCTGACTTTCAACGGACGTCAGCTAGCCCACCCGTTGATGTTTGGTCTGGTCAACACGCCGGAGGAGTGCAGATGGCTCACGGGGGGGACCGAGAACATTGCGCTGTTTCCTACAATGCCACCTGGGATGTCGGCCGAGCAGAAGTGCGCTATCATGCAGAAGATGCTTCAGATCGTGCTCCAACCCCTGATGGATGCGTCAACCCTGGAGAGGTACATATGGATGTGTGTGTTTGCATAAGGTGCACTTCGTTGCTTGCCACGAGTCCTGACATTGCTGCGGCCTCTGTTTGTTCCCCTAAAAGTGGGGGAATGCAGGTGGTCGATCACATGGGCATCCCTGCAACCGTGTTCACCATGCTGCACACATATGCCTGTGATCACCCGGAATCCATCATGGTCACCGGTACAATGGCAGCGAGCTCGTTCAAGCCGTGCTCTATGTGCATTGTAGATTGCTGGGATCTGAAGAAGGTGGCTGAGACTTTCACAGCTCGAACTGTCCACGACCAGCGGCTTCTGTTCAACCTCATGTGCGAGGCCACCCCGGAAGAGCGGGAAGACCTGAAGCGAGCATGGTCAACGCACTATGTCGCCGTGAGTGTGCACGACCACTTGTTACCAGTCCCGCTCACCCCTTCGTACCTATATGTCGGTGTTTCATTTGACATGGTCGTGCCAAATGTACCCATCCTACAGTGCGCCCTATGGGAGTGGGGCTACGTGACCACGGACTGGGGAAACATGTACGAGACTATTGGGGTGTGTCTGATGCATGTGGTGGACGAGGGTATGTGGCTGCATTGGATGCGTTGCTGCCTCCGCCTGCTGACTCCAGCGGAGAAGAAGGAAGTGATTAGGTAAGTGCTGGTGTCCCGCTCACCCTCTTTTTTCATCCAAGGCACGACCTCGTTTTGCCTCCGCTTTTGCGCTTCGTAGACCGGTTCCCCGCTGCACCCATTCCACCTTGCGTTTGATATCACCAACTCATCCTCTGCCCTGTCCATCTGTTGCACATCTGTTCACACTGTGGCGCTGGCGTGCTTTCAGACGCTGCAGACTGGTCCTCGCCGACACGCCCGCGTCGATGCTCCGGACCCCCAATATCCGGACCTACTTCGGCAGGGTGTCCATGTTTGCTGCATGGGAGCACCACGCGATGATGCAGATTGTGCCTCTGATCCTCCACCTGCCGGGGAAGGAACACCTTGGGGGGGCGGCTGTCCTCTTCAACGAGTGGTACCAGGCGTTCTTCCGAGTGGAGTACCACACTGACGCATCCCTGGACGCCTGTGTCGTTCTCACTGAACAGTGAGTGTTATACGAGTTCACACCCGTCCCCTCTCTCCCCCCCCCCTCCCCGCACCTCCTCTCCACACGCACACCTTTGTACACTCGCGATCGTCCGCGAACAGCGCGGAGTCAGAAGCACGATGCGAGTCCCACATTGTATGAGCAACAGGCCAAGCACTCTAGGACACGCGATGCATCTTGTTGTGTACACTACAACTTTTGTTTTCACGAAGCTTGTTTAGTGTGAGAGGGTTATGTAACCCAAGTATGGCAAGCACGCAAGACTCTTGACCAGTTGCTGCCTTGAAGGTAAATGTTGATGTCCTGGTTGCAAACGCATGCTGGTGGCGAACCTGGTGCAGGTGTTCCCAAACCAGAAGTCACACTGGGACCTTGTGAAGGTGCACATGATCGGGCATCTGCCAGAAAAGATCAAGTCTCGTGGCCTACCTTCTGAGTACTCTACCAACAAGTACGAGGCCTTCCACAAGACGATGGTGAAGAACCCGGCAAGGAACTCTAACTGGCGGGACGTGGGGCGGGACATCGCGTTCAGGCAAGCAAGGCTGGAGGCCATCCGGGCCATCGCGAGAGAGGAGGGAAGTGGCAAGCAGTACGAGACCGCCATGCGCCTGGTGAGTGTGCAGACCGGAGCTAACATGTGTCTTTCGCTCCTGGCCTATATGGGGCGATTGTAACTTCCGTTTGGGTATGTCATGTAAACATGTTTAACTACATCAAGACTCGGTTGCATAACACATGTGCCCCTGCAGGCAGTGCCAGCAGCACCATGGTCCCGGGCGATCGGCATGACGCGCAGTGGCTGGCCTATGGCATGTCGTTGGGCGACGAGAGCATGGCCCATTTCCGAAGGGAGCTGAAGCGCGCAAAGATCACGGCTCCGGTGCTACAGGTACTCTGTCAAGTCCGTCATTTCCTCACATGCCGCTCCTACCACCCACGTTCATTGTCTCTCAGCAGGCTCCAATACCCCACCCCCTTCCCCCTCTCTCCACCCTAAACCCTCTCCCTCACGCCCAATATACCGTGGACTGCACCCCATCAACCGTACGTTCGAGGCACGCGACCATTTGGCCCCTCTCGTGCTGCGTATATCCGTCTGTAGGTTGATCATATCTTACATTAGACTATGCCTAGTGATGCCATAAATGTTCGCTTCTCATCCGTCCTTTTTCCCAACCCCCCACCATCCCCTTCCACCATCCCGGCACTAATGTTCGCCCCAAAATGGGTGACGCACAAACCCCGGCCAGACCCACACTGCTCTTGCGATTCCACCTCACAGCCGCATGGACCGGGGTTTCACTGGCCAGGTCGTGAAGGCCTCTCCCAAGGAGCAGAAGTTCAGCCACATCCGCATCGAGAGCGGCCACAAGGCGGAGTGGTTTGCGCGATGCCTTGTACTCTTCCATTTCACGGATGAGAGGCAGCAACTGCACAGGCGGGCATTCATCAAGTACTTCACCGAGCAACCGATGGCATGCCAAGAGACGGGGTGCCGGATGCTTCTTCCCACGACAGGCAAGGATGCGTATGCGATTGTGGAGCTGGAGAGCATCTTGTCTCTTGCACATGTCGTGCCCTGTTTCTCGCGCCCGCAGTACTCTCTTGTGAACCGTTTTCTATTTTGAGAGGGTGAGGGGTGGCTGTTGATACTATGATGCGTGTTGGCTTTTTTGCATGAGATGGGAGCCACTGCCTGGTCGTTCCCAATGCTGCCATTTTATTGAAAACTTGCCCTAACCCGCGACAGAAATCTGACTTCCGTAGTCACGCATATGATTTGAAATGCGCTGGATTCCGCTTCATGGCGTCGAGTAGTTCAGCATAGGCCAATACCTTGTTTAATTTTATTGAGGTTTTTCATGATGAAGCGCGTTCTATCGTGGAAAGGTACCGTACGTTTGTTGTAGGCATTTGGTGATTGATGATGTTTGGTATTGTAAAACTTGGCCAGTTTTGAATCCCGAACACTGTACGGACCGTGCAACAGTTTTGACATTAACCCCTAATAAGATGCCAGCGAGAATCGAACCGGAGACCTTCCGGATGCTGACTGGGAATAGAGTCTTTTTGGATGGATTCTGGATACTTCGTGTTCTGGCTGTATTTTGGACGATTTTGCGTGTGCGTTATATGGGCAAAGACTCTTCTTGGACATTTGTAAGAGGTCAGAGGACACCTTGTGGACTACCCAACGCGCCGGCCGTTTTTCGGACATACACTTTTTGGAGATGTGGGTGATCACAATAATGCGTAGTACCAGTATAGCATATAAGCACCATTAGACAGGAAGCGAAATATGGTGATGTTTCAAGCTATACGGCTTCAAGCTATATGGTGCGAAATTGTCACCGCAAGTCTCGAGAATGACCTACAAGAGTTCTGGAAAGAGGTCATCCCACCAATGAGAAACGCCCTGAAGCCCGTCTTTGCACCCCTGCTCCGGCCTGCCACTGCATGCATCCCTGCCCGGGCTTGTGCCCAGAAAATCATCGAAATGCATGAAGCAGCTGCTGCTCTCACTCCCATCCACACTATGCGCCTTACTGAGTTGCGCCTTACTGAGTCCAATCTCCTCCAGCAACCCCTCTTTCCCCACCTCTTCATGCATGCTCCACTCGCTCTCCGCCACGCTGCTCCCACCAGACCCAGCAAGCTGATTGCTCGTCTTAAACATGTCATGATGGATAGCAGCAGAGATGAGCGCTCGGCTGCAGGGCTTGAGGTCAGAGACTGATGACACAGGAAAGGTTGCTCCCTCAGGAATGGGAGGAGGGGAAGTGAAAGGGTTTACAGGGAAGCCGGCGGACGGGTCAACCAAAACTGAATCGTGGCCATGCGCCTGGTCCCCTGCCTGCTTCTCTGCCTGCTTCTGTGGCTGCTGGTGTGCCTCCCGCTGTGTCTCCATCTGAGCTTGCTGCTGCGACTCTGCCTGTTGCTGCCAGCCCCCCTCCTCTTGGCTCTGTGCCAGCCGCTCCAGAGGCGACCCAGAAGCTTCCTCCCAGCCCTCGTGCAGGTTTGGCACCTTCCAGCCGAGTGCTTCTTGGTGTAGCCCGGGCCGCCCTTCAGCGTTCAACTGTGTATGATACAAGACTATGGAACCTCTGTTCATCTGGGCCGTTGATTTGAGATACGCTTCGTGCTGATGAATAGATCCACACCGTTGATCTTTTGCAGGACAGGACCCCCCCTGCTGCTGCATTTTGTTATCAGGTGGTTCAGCTTCAGGAGATTGCAACAGAGCCAGGTATCCACCAGTGGCTTCCCCGGCAGCTGGGCTACAGTGCAGAGATATTTCCAGGTATTGGGACGATGAAGGGATGCAGGACGTGCAAGGAGGGGCGGAGTATGTGCACGGGAAACCGGCAGCAGGTGCTTGCATGGTAGCAGACGACCAATAAGGCTGTGGGTACGGTTCTGAAGGGTCTGAGTAGGTTGGAGTCGCACTAGAGGAGTGGAGAGGGGTAATGCAAGAACAATGTGGGTCTGTGCAAGGGTGCGGCTGGTGATGGGGTTGGGGATTGGGACACGGATGGTAGTATGGGAGCGGGGAGGGTTGAGCGGAGGGGGGAAGTGAAGGAGGTTGGGGAGGAGGGTGGGGAGCAGAGGGAGGGGCAGTGTGAGGAGCAGTGGGTGGGCCAGTATGAGGGGCAGTGTTAGGTTCTCTGTGGGAGACAGTGTGAGGGACAGTGAGAGGGCCACTGTGAGGGGCAGGGTGCGGGGCAGTGTGAGAGGTAGTGCGAGGGGCAGTGTGAGGAGCAACAGTATGGACAGTAGGATGGGCAGTGTGAGGAGCAGTGTGAGTAGCAGTGCGAGAGGCAGGGTGAGGAACAGTGTGAGGAACAGTGGGTGGGGCAGTGGGATGGGCTGAGAAGGAAGTAGGGTACTTGTTGGGAGGGTGGGTCACAAGGATGGAGGGCCGCTGCCCATACTGGCTGATGGTGAGAAGAGGGGGTTGAGAATTAGGGGGTTGAGAATTAGGGGGTTGAGAATTAGGGGGTTGAGAATTAGGGGGTTGAGGATTAGGCGGTTGAGGATTAGGGAGTTGAGGATGAGGCCCTACTTGCTGCGTGCGGACAGGGGCAGGCTGTGGCATCTTCAGCAGCACCTGATGTGGTGGCGTCTGTTGCAGCTGGGATGTCACTGGTTGTTCCACGTGGGGTACGCCCTGTGGCTGCACCTGCTGCAGCGGTGGCGACTGATGCTGATATTGCTGCTGCTGCTGCTGTGGCTGCTGCTGCTGTTGCTGTTGCTGCTGCTGCTGCTGCTGCTGCTGCTGCTGCTGCTGCTGCTGCTGCTGCTGCTGCTGCTGCTGCTGCTGCTGCTGCTGCTGCTGCTGCTGCTGCTGCTGCTGCTGCTGCTGCTGCTGCTGCTGCTGCTGCTGCTGCTGCTGCTGCTGCTGCTGCTGCTGCTGCTGCTGCTGCTGCTGCTGCTGCGCTGCGGCTGCGGCTGCTGTTGCTGCTGCTGGAGTGGTGGTTGCTTCCGTTGCTGCTGCTGCTGCTGCTGCTGTTCCTGCTGCTTGTGCCGCATTTTCTTTGCTTTAGGCCCTCCTGCTTCGGCTGTGCCCAGCTGTCGCTTCTGCTTCTGCTCTCGCCACCGCTTGGCATGGGCAAACACGAGCATGCACCAACTGTGATGGGTGGGATGCGGTGAAAAAAGGTACGAAACATACAGCAGGGTTTAGAGATGATGCTCTTGCTTATGACGCAATGAGTGGAGGAGGAGGAGGATGAGGAGGAGGAGGAGGAGGAGGAGGAGGAGGAGGAGGAGGAGGAGGAGGAGGAGGAGGAGGAGGAGGAGGAGGAGGAGGAGGAGGAGGAGGAGGAGGAGGAGGAGGAGGAGGAGGAGGAGGAGGAGCGGGAAGGGGGGGACAAGAAGGAGACAAAGAAGCGCCTTACAGAAACTATCTAATCAAACAGGGGCAAGAAGGGTCTAGAGCCAACTTTGTAAGCAAGGTTAATAAATTTAACACCTAATGTACCAATTAACTTAGCTACTAGACAGCTAACCGAGCTCGTTGCTATCCACCCATTCTTGCTCGTTGCTCATTGCAACTCGTTCCATTTGAATGCAGACCCTGAGGAGGCATGTACGAAAGGGAAGAGAGAGAGGGCAGGCAGCCGTACCTGATGGCCTTGTTATGCTCGTCCAGACACTTCCTGCTGTCCGCCCGATCACTCGATGACTCTGCCACCTGCCCCGACCTTGCCATAGCGCCCGCTGCAGGCGGCGACGAATCAGTGGACGAGGCTGCTGAAGCCAGCCCTGCAGCACCAGCAGGGGTGGAGCCCCGAGGAGAGGCGCAGGTAGCCGCCTGCAGGGGAGTGCTGTAAGTCTCCCGTGCTGCCCCCGTCCCTGCTCCAGCAGGCGCGTAGCTCCGGAGACATGCGCCGCTGGTGGAAGAAGCAGTTCTGCTCAGCGGGAAATTGCCCTCCACTTTCCCTGCTGATGCCGCCTCGTGTTGATCGTCCTTCGCAGCGGCAGCGGCTTGGGCAGCGGAGGCAGGGTTACCGGAAGTAGCAGCGTTACCGAATGCGGTAGGGTTACCAGCGCCGCCGTCAGAGGGGCCTTTCTCGCCGGCATCGGAAGTGCCGTCTTCGGCGGCCATTTCAGCAGCGGAGGAGTGCAGGCAGCGCATGATCTCGTGCACGGGCATGGGCGGCACGGGGAAGTCCATCATTGACTCCTCCGAGTCAAACGGGTCGTCCGAGTCAATGCCGCCGCCCAGGCCGCAGCCGCTCATGATGCTGGGGACGGTGCCTGAGCCGGGAGTGCTGCTGATAGAGTCTGCTTTGTTGGCGTCTTGTATGAATTTTCTGGATGGATAAGAGAAAGGGAGCATGGATGGGTGGGTGAGGAATAAGAGGAATGCAACTCGGGAAATAGGATTTATAATGAGACCGGGTAATGTGTCGGGAGGGAGGAATACAACTATTCTTTTTTATAAATATATTTAAACGCCATCAAACATCACATTTGGGAGGGAGAAATTTGCTACATGTTGATTCATTGTGTCAATATTTGCTCCAATAGAGGGGAGTCCTGACTGCAAGAAACAATAACTTCATAACATCCATAAGAGCCAAGCCTAAAATAAAAAAGTTCGCTTGCAAAGAACGAAATCATACGGCAATTGCCGGATATTTATTAGGCTTACTCACCTCTTCAGGAGCAAGAACCGATTACAGCAAGCCTTGCTGTCTCGATGACGTCCCAGCGTATTGCTCTGTTGAAGCAACGCCCATTGCGACGTGCCATTGTACAGCACATGCTCGAGAAGTATCTTGTCTTCCTGGATGGAAAAATAGAGCAAGTAATGAGGTATAGTATAAGAAGCTGCTTGCAAATATATTGAGCCAATTTATAGGTTATTGAAATGACCGTAAGGAATCCATCGTTGGAATACATGTGGAATGTGTTGCGGGTAAAACGCATCTCGCATCAACGCACCTCCGCACTCCACCGTGCCGCGTATGTCCTGCCCGTTGTGTTACCGCGGCTGCCCATTTCGAATCAGCTTCGCATAGCAGTCCTCGTCGCTCGTTGCCTCGCCTCACCTCCCACACGCCCTGCCTGCGAAATGAAAGTCTTCGCGCTTTAGTGCAGCTCTTCCACTACGCAGTAACCGGATGAAAGCGAAAGTAGGATCTGGGGCGAAAACGGACGCGACGACAGAATCTCCCCTGCCACAAGCGGCTCTTTTGGGGGCGATTCAAGCAAACCCGCCCGGGTTTCGAGGCTCAGGTTCAAACAGCTCCTCCCCCGAATCAGTTCTGCCCAAAGCCCTAATGCTTGACCGCTGTGATTGCTCCGCTTCTCGTCCACAGATGCTCCCTCCCCGTTGGTTGTCTTGCTTTCACTGTTTTTTTTCTCAAGCACAGCTGCTCGCTCCGCTCCTCGTGCGCGGCTGCTCTCTCCGTTTCTCATGCACAGCTGCTCGCTCCGCTCCTCGTGCACACCTGCTTGCTCCGGTTCTCGTGCACAGATGCTCGTTCCCCTTCTCGTGCTCGTTGCTCAGCTTCTTGATTGCCGAATTCTCGGCTGGTGAGGAAATGCATTCGCTGACGCGTTAGGGCTTCTTCGATCGACCGCCGAGAATACCGACGCGCCGCGCGGCCGCTGCCGAGCTTAGTTGATAATGGAAGGCGGCACTCGAGCTCGACCGATATCGCGTAGCGAATCGTGACTTCAGAGACCTGATCCTTGCTAAAACACCAAAAAGTCTTTTTCCAACAATGCAGGGACTGATAAGTATAGGGTTTGGAGTTCCGCCTCCGTGAAGTTGCGCAAGCCAAGGAGAAGTCTCCAAATTTTCGGCGCAGCGCAAGAGGGTTCCAAGCTCAACCGCCAGCCAACCCTTCAGAACCTGTAAAGACAAGCAGCAGCTTATGACAATCCGTCACACCCAGCTTTTGAGGGCGACTAAGAAAACGCGGCGTCGTTCAGATCAGCGACAAAGAGCGAAGCAGGCCACGTGAGAGCCGAGCTAACTAACAAACAGCCTCCAAACCATACTCTAGAACCCACAGCTTGTGTGATAGCCAATTGAGAGCGAAGCACTGCTGCCAATTGGGCACCGCACCTGACACAAATGATGATCGCCGAAGCACAGTGCCAGCTTCCGCAGCTTCCGAAGAAGCCTCCGGTCGAATAGGGGTCCGGCTCTCGAAGGGGTTTGATCCGAGCCTAGCGCGGGTGTCCGTTGCCTCTCTTCCTCCGCGTGATATTGCCCCTCTTGCTATCTCGCTTGCCTTGTGGCTCTGTTCGCTGCGACGGCCACTGCTGGCGCTTCACGTGCTACCTCTCTCTCACAATGCTGCTGCCCGTGCCGGTGAAGGGGGATGCTGTGCCCTGCTGCTGCACTTGGCCAATGGACAGGGGGGAGATGGGCAGGAGTGAGAGCCCGAGATTGCGGAGCGGAGTACGGGTCGCAGATTCGAAATATCTGAAGTGGCCGAATTCGCCGCATTTTTGTGTTGCGCGAATGCGGCGGGATCTATTAGATCTTCATGGACAGGGAATGCCAGCCAAGCTGCCTGTGGATTCACGGAAACAGGCAAGAGGGTTCGCGAGAAAAGAGAGGCGAAAGGCAGGGAGGTGAGATGACCTGACGTGGGCAGCGCCACCTGGCGCAGGCTGATTGGCGTAATCCGCCGCAATTCGACCTTTCGCTTTGCTGTGAAGCCAGAAAGCAACGAGGAGCGCGGAGAGGCTGTCGAAGGTCGCGCGGAATGCGCCGATGGGCGGAGGTTCTGGAAGAGCTTGGGATGCAGGTGATTGGTGTGCGAATTCGCGATCGCGAGCAAGCGGAATGGTGGAGAAAGCCAAGTTGCTCTTAGCTTCGCGCTTATGAGGGAAGCAGCAGCTTCGGCAACTTTCTGTAACCCCGTTCAGTGCTGTTCGCTACGCACGATGCACCGTGAGCTCCTGTTCGTGGGGACATGTACAGTACCGTGCTGGAGGAGGCGGGTTTCCACCGGGGTTTATGCGCGATGCGCAGAGCGGAAACCACCGTTGAACAGTTGAACAGCAGAAAATGAGCGAGAGGGGAGTGCGTGTTCTTCCAGTTCATTCCTAGTTCACCCCCAGCATTCTTGCGACTTCGGGATCGGGGAGGGGCGAGGGACAGGGGAGTTTTGTTGTGAGTGAGGTGTGATCGAGGTAAGCGGCTCAGGCGGAGGAGGGTGGAATTGCGAAGCGTAGAGTGTGTGGGTGGAGATCGTCACAGCGTTTTGGGCGTTTGACGTTGTTTGCTTGCGCCAAGCCGATGACAAGGGAGAATCGCTGCCAGCAAACCGAGGATGTCCTAGCGTGTCGTCTTGTGTGCGCTGTTGCCTGGTGCGCCACTACAGTAACGTGGGAAGAAACTTCTTGAAGGCACTTTTGCTGCCCTTCTAAATAACTGTATCTGATCTGTGAGGACATTACAGTATACTATGTCAACTAGGTTTGCGATAGTTTGTCTCTGTCCAGAACGCACCCCCTTCACAACTACATCTGCCCCTACCGTACCGTGCTGCTTGCACCAGTCTCGCCTGTAGGAAGATTACGCTTAGCTATTGTACGCAACATCGGGTTTCCCTTTTCGTGTGAGGGCGAAAATAGGTGATCCAAAGACTGCATGGCAAATCCTGAGATTGGATTGTGCGGGTGAAATGCAAAATGACGAAGAGAAAAAAACGTCCTGGGAATTCAGGACGAGGCGCGATGCAAAAACACGTCAGCACAGCGTTCTTGCCACTCGCAAGCGAGGCGCGCGCGATTTTTCTGTGCTGCAGTGGCGAAGGATGAGCGTCCCGATGCAATGGAAGTGGTGGGGCTGGAGGAAGTGGTTCGCTATGTGCTTCCGCTTTTTCCACTTGAGTACAAGACATTTTGAAACAGAATGCGAATGTTATTTCACATACACAAGATCGCTCCAAACATGTACAGTTACGACTGAGAATGTATGCACTGCTATAGTGTAATAACATTCAAAAAAAAAAAAAAAAAAAAACAAGAGTCGACGAAATCGTCTTAGGGTTGCGGAGCTCTCAAAACATGCACATTTTGTTTGTTCGTACTCTGTCCACGTTAGTGCGGAGTAAGTACAAGGGATGATGAAGTGTAGATACAAAAAATATAGATTGAACTACCACTACCTCTTGCTGGGATCGATCTCGAGACCATCCGGTTAAATAGCGCAATGGGAACCGCTGTGCTAATTCACCTGATAAATGGACAAACAAAAACCTTTTACATTTATAAACACCTTGACAATTTACAAACCTCCCTAGGGTTTCAATCTTTCTTTCCTTTTGCTGTCCCTTGTCATCCCGCTGTCATCCGTTTGCTCCAGCTACCAACTGCTGCTCTTCCTACTCCCACGTCTCATACTTTCGTTTTTTTAGAGGTGAGCCTTAGAGACTATTGTGACTTACTAGAGTTAATTAGCATAGACATTTCTCTATGCCTCCGCACTTTTGCCTCTCCACAGCTTTCTTTATTTCCTCATTTGACCTTTCTCCACCCGTGCTTGTCATTATCCACCCGTTAGAGTTGTTTCTACTTCCCTTCCAATGTTTTCCGTCGCTTTATTCCCTCTTCGAATCTCTATGTTTTTCTTAGTGTCCTCATTCTCATACTTCTCCTCTTTTTATTCTCAGTAATTGAACTATATTGCTTATCATTCTTCGTGTTTAACGCTGGGAAGTTCTAAGAGATCAAATAACAGCAAGCTAGTTAGCAACTTCGTCCCAAGCTTCCTTCTATGTTGTTCGTCGATTTTAGATTCTCCTTTCTTGCCTTCCTTCCTTCCTTCTTTCCTGTTTACCTTCATTCCTTCCTTGTTTACCTTCGTTCCTTCCTGCTTACCACCCTCCCTTCCTTATTGTTTACCTTCCTTACTTCATGTTTACATTCCTTCCATCTTGTTTACCTTCATTCTGTCAGAATGTTATGTTTGTCTAGCCTGCAGTGGGGTACTCTATAGTGAGTACGACCCAAACTAGGGCTTCTTATATGTATCTTACCTGCTGCTAGTGCAAACCCCTCTTTCCTGTTTCTATCGTTTGCCTAGCTTTCTCGACATGCTATCAGAGCAGGTCGACCCTCTTGGGAATGATGCCTCGAAGGACCCCTCTTAGGCAAGTAGGATGAAAGATACACTTCATCCTCTCCTACACCCCCCAAATCATCCGACTCATCACCAAGATATTTGTCCTCATCTCCAACATCCCTATCCGCCACGTCAGCACCTGCACCGTCATAATTGCCCGCATCATCGCCAGCCCCCCCATCATCATCTGCGTCAAGATCCACGTCAGCGGAAAAGCCAGCACCGCCTGCCACATCAGCACCAGCGTCCTCATCCACCTGCCCTGGAGTAGCCACGTCAGCAGCAATATCTCCAGCAACTATGGCAGCAATGGCTGCATCGTCAGCGTCAGCAGGGTTACCAGCAGCGTTACGGGCAACAGAGGCACCAGCAGGGTTACCAGCAGTGGGGGTCTGAAGGAGCTCCACGTGGGGTTCAAAGGCAGGCCAGTCCTTGCGAGGCCTGCAGGGGAAGGGAGGAGGAAAGAAAAGATGCCCGAGTGGGGGATAGCACTATTACAAGCAGCGGATGCGGGGGTTTGAAGGGGCTCCACGTGGGGTGAAGGGGTTCAAAGGCAGGCCAGACCTGGTGACGCCATCGGTTGAAGTGAGGAGAGGAAGGCTGAGAAGCACAGGAGATATCAAAAGAAACTGAACGGGACTAGAGAAGATCTATTGAGCTGCGCTGGAAGACTTTTGAGGCGCCTCAAAAGAAACGTGAACGGGAATAATGGACCACTTTTGAGCTACGCTGGAAGAGAGGCTCATGGCTCAAACCGAAACGCATGCTTGCAGGCCAGTGCTGCGAGGCTTGCTTGCTGTTATGGGAAGCTACAGCCTGCAGCTCCCAAGGCCCGCAGCTTCATCGCCCCACTCAAGCTATCTGGCCCATCACCCTACCTGCCGTCCCAGCGTCCTCTGGTGGACTCTCCAACCCTGCCTTGCCCAGGCAGATGAAACAAGTAGATATTTGAGACGTCTCAAAAAAAGCCCACCCTACCTGCCCTACGTCCTCTGGTGGACTCTCCAACCCTGCCTTGCCCAGCCAGATGAAACACGTAGATTAAAAAAAAGCCCACCCTACCTGCCCAGCGTCCTCTGGTGGATTCTCCAACCCTGCCTTGCCCAGCCAGAGCCCCCCCTCACCTTTCTCAGGCTAGAGGCGTGGTAGTACTACCAGGTACCCACTGGTGCAGTGCAGGTGAGAGGCGAGGCAGCTGCTGTCAAGGCCATCGAGCCCCAAACAGGAGCCATGAACATTGCGTGGCAGCAGCAGCGCTTAGCAGACTGTTGTTAAGTGTGAGCAGGCTTGCTTTGTAAAAAACCTTGTGCGTTTTTTTTTTTTTTTTTTTGGGGCGGTAACTAGTTTCGGCTCGTCGAGCCTTCTTCAGACCACTTCATGGCTCCTGTTTGGGGCTCGACCAGAGCCCCTCCTCACCTTCTCAGGCCAGAGGCGTGGTAGTCTCTGGTACCCACTGGTGGAGGTGGGAGAGGCGTGGTAGTCTCTGGTACCCTCTGGTGCAGATGGGAGAGGCGTGGTAGTCTCTGGTACCCTCTGGTGCAGATGGGAGAGGCGTGGTAGTCTCTGGTACCCTCTGGTGCAGATGGGAGAGGCGTGGTAGTCTCTGGTACCCTCTGGTGCAGATGGGAGAGGCGTGGTAGTCTCTGGTACCCTCTGGTGGAGGTGGGAGAGGCGTGGTAGTCTCTGGTACCCTCTGGTGGAGGTGGGAGAGGCGTGGTAGTCTCTGGTACCCTCTGGTGGAGGTGGGAGAGGCGTGGTAGTCTCTGGTACCCTCTGGTGGAGGTGGGAGAGGCGTGGTAGTCTCTGGTACCCTCTGGTGGAGGTGGGAGAGGCAAGGCAGGTGCTGTCAAGGGAGAGAGAGGCCAGCCGGCATAACCTGTCCTGTGCTCGGCGACTAGCGTGCACGTTCCTTTCCACCCACCATCTCACGCTGATGCGCCCATCTGCTCTGTGCATGAAAGCAAGAGTCGTGGTGCCCACTAGTGGGGACAGCCGCTGCGTCTGTCACCTGTGCCCTGCGGCTAGGCTTTAGTGCTGGGTTTTGCCTTCCACCCACCTTCTCACGCTGAGCGCCCATCTGCTCTGCGCATGAAGGCCAGAGCCGTGGCCCTGCGCATCCTCTGGTGAATCTCCAACCCATGACCCTTCCCTACCCAGCCAAACCCCACCCCACCGGGCCTACCCTCACCTTCTCACACTGATGCGCCCATCTGCTCCGCATGAAGGCCAAAGCCGTGCCGTGGTGCCCACGGGTGGGGCAGCTGCTGCTGCTATCACCTGGCCCTGCATCACCTGTACTCTGAACATGGGGTTTCGGTCTAGGGTTCACTTCCCACCCACCTTCTCACGCTGATGCGCCCATCTGCTCTGCGCATGAAGGCGAGAGTGATGGTGCCCACTGGAGGGGCAGCAGCTGCTTCTGTCACCGGTGTTTTGTACCACCTGTTGCCTGCATCAACTGTACTCTGAACTATACATGGGCAACGAGTGTAGGGTTTTTGCTCGACTCGTTCGAAATGCTCGTTGGGGGGCGAGTAACGAGCCTGATTTTTTGGCAAAATTACTCGTCCGAGTCGAGCCGAGTAATGCTCGCCGAGCTTTTCATACTCGTCACTTGCTCGGTCATGGCGACGAGCATTTCCAGGTGTTCTTTGTGCTCGTCGAGCTTTATTGAACTCGACGAGCATACAGAACACGTCGCGTAACTTTTGCCAGGGGTTCAGATTAGCGGGAAAATCTGAGCCCAGATCTGAACCCGCCAAGTGGTCCCAACCACTTTCCCTACAGTTTCGCCAGCACATCCACACTCAATCCGCGAAGTGACGCATGTTTTCCACCACATCGAACGGTTCGATGGTTGGGTACATATCTGAGGAACGTGTTTGTACCCAACCACCACAATTTCCACCCCTCGCGAAATTGGCGAGCGAGTGAAATTATGTCGTGCGATCTAGTCAAAAGTGTTCGCGAACTGTTATCGCGAAACAGTTTGACGCGACTCACAGCTCCTCCTCTCAAGCCACCCCAAACCCACCCACTTTCCCCCTCCCCCCCACCCCCACATCTCAACAGTCTTAGCTACCGCGCTCGTTTTCTTACCTAATTTCGTAGACTAGGCAACTTAGTACCTAGCTGATCGCTTAGCATAGCATCTTTTACCTCGCATCTTAGGAATAAAACGAGTCGTGAAATATCACTAAGATACAAAAGGGAGCATCATGTCGACGAATGCAACCTAGACATGTCTTGTACAGGAAATGTTTGCAGGGGCAAACTTTGCAGTTACAAGGCACAGGGTGGCGAGTCGAGCATTACTTTTGCTCGGACGAGTTTCCCACCAAACTCGCCCGAGCATGCCCAAAAGGGACGAGTTACGAGTATGCAAAAAGTTGAGATTTGCTCGTCAGAGTTTTGCTCGACTCGAGGCAAAAGCTCGGCGAGCAAGACCAGTCACGAGTCGAGTATTGCTCGACTCGTCACTTTGACCATGTATACTCTGAACATAGGGGTTCGGTCTAGGCTATACATTCCACCCACCTTCTCACGCTGATGCGCCCATCTGCTCTGCGCATGAAGGCGAGAGTGGTGGTGCCCACGGGTGGGTTGGGAGCGGCAGCTGCTGCTGTGGCCTTTGGGCTGGAAGGGGGTGAGAGGGAGGGAGAGTGTGGCAAGGAGAAAGAAAGAAACGGACTTGAAGGCGAGAATGGAGGCGGCCACTGGTGGGACGGGAGGGACAGCTGCTGATGTGGCCTTTGGGCTGGAGGGGAGTAGGAGGGCGGGTGCGAGTGACAAGGAGAGCAAGGGGAAGGACGCGGGGAAAGATACAGTGAAGCATAAAGGGCAGATTCTTGGATAAAAGCGAGGGGAAGAGGAAATGGAGAAGGAAAGATGGAACAGGGCAGATCATCTCTGGCTCTGCTCCTACGTCGTTTTTCCTCTCATTCCAGGCTTATGCCCCTCACTCCCCACCCACCCACCCACCCACCCACCCACCCACCCACCCACCCCCATATGCGTATCCCTCTCGCTACCCACACCCCCATTCCCCCCTCCCCATCCCCCTGCCACTCACTCGGCGTTCCCCCCGCGCTCCCTCCTCGGCCGCTTGGAGGAGCGCGGCTCCTTGGAGGCGAGCATCTGCCGGGCCAGCTGGAGGGGACAGGCAGAGGTGGGGGTGGGGAGCGGGGGGTGTAGCAGGAAGCTGGTGCAGCAACAACAGGGCGTGGCTTAGTTGAATGCTTGGAGGAGCGGGGCTCCTTGGAGGCGAGCATCTGGCGGGCGAGCTGGGGGGGGTGGATTATGGACGTGGGCGGAAAGAGGGAGAGACAGCAGGAACGTGGGTGAAAGAACCACAGGTGGGTGGGAGGGAGAACCGCCTTCTCGGCTGCTTGGAGGAGCGGGGCTCCTTGGCGGCGAGCATCTGGCGGGCGAGCTGGGTGGGGGAAGGCCAGGCAGGAAGAGAGGGGAGCAGCAGGAAAAGAACGTGGGTAAACGAACTGCGAAAATATTCAACTGTTGGAGGCCAGCTTCTGGCGCTCGAGCTGGTGGGCGACGCGGATGTATGCGGTTGTTCCGAAAGACTCACGGAAAGGCATTGAGAGCGGGGTTGTTCATGGAAGGGAAAGGAGACCGCAAAAAAGTGCTTCAAAAAGTGCTTCAAAAAAGTGCGTAGATGATCAGAGGGCAGAGAGCGAGGAGCAGAGGAGGAGGAGCAGAGGGCTTCATTTTTCTGGTCAATAATGTCTGTATACGAGGTGACTTTTGAGTCGACTCAAAAGTCACGTCATACTAATGATGACACAATGCGGATTTGAGTGCGCATTCCGGGACAGGGAACCATATCTTACAAAATGGACAAGCGGACAAATAAACAGACAAATAAACAGACAAACAAACAAGCAAAACAGAAGAGGAACACTCCGCCCACCTCTAGCAATTGCTCTCGCAGAGTCACTGCAACCCAGACCTGCAACAAGGCAGAGGGCAGCGGCAGGGAAGGGAGGAGTTGAGGAATGAGGGGATTAAGATGCTGCTGAGAATGCATTACCTGAGAGCCCGTCATCCCTTGCCAGCACATAGTGAATTTTGAGTCGACTCAAAAGTCACCTGTGAGCGTGTCATTACCTGTGAGCGTGTCATTACCTGTGAGCGTGTCATTACCTGTGAGCGTGTCATTACCTTGCCAGCTCATAACACAAGAGTACAGGAGTGCAGAGACCGGGTGTGAGGCCTTGTGGGTCGGCATCAGTAATCCCAAGATCAGAGCACAGGCCAGCAGCAATGATTGCTGCGACCGAACTATGACACTTGTCAAGACAGGAAACACACTTTTGATACCACAGCTACCTGTGCTTGTGGGTCGGCATCGGTAATCCCAAGATCAGAGCACAGGCCAGCAGCAATGATTGCTGCGACCGAACTATGACACTTGTCAAGACAGGAAACACACTTTTGATACCACAGCTACCTGTGCTTGTTGGTCGGCATCGGTAATCCCAAGATCAGAGCACAGGCCAGCAGCAATGATTGCTGCGACCGAACTATGACACTTGTCAAGACAGGAAACACACTTTTGATACCACAGCTACCTGTGCTTGTGGGTCGGCATCGGTAATCCCAAGATCAGAGCACAGGCCAGCAGCAATGATTGCTGCGACCGAACTATGACACTTGTCAAGACAGGAAACACACTTTTGATACCACAGCTACCTGTGCTTGTGGGTCGGCATCGGTAATCCCAAGATCAGAGCACAGGCCAGCAGCATAGGCCTCGGGATCCGCGTATGGGTTGTTCAGATCCTGCCAGGAGGTGAGGACGGAGGGTGAGAGTGGTAAGGACAAAGAGGTGAGGTGGGGGTTGGGAGTGATGAAAGCAAAGGCCAGCAGCATAGGCCTCGGGATCCGCGTATGGGTTGTTCAGAACCTGCCATGGGGTGAGGGTGGAGGAGGTAATAGTCGGAGGTTTGGGATGGGCTTTTAACGTAAAGGGTTTGTTACTACAGTGGTCGAACGAGAGGTGAGAGTTAATAACCAAACGAACGATTGAGAGGTGAGAGTTGATAATCAAACAAACGAATGAGAGGTGAGAGTTGAAAACCAACGAACGAATGAGAGATGAGAGTTGAAAACCAAACGAACGAATGAGAGATGAGAGTTGATAACCGAACGAACGAATGAGAGATGAGAGTTGATAACCAAACGAACGAATGAGAGATGAGAGTTGATAACCGAACGAACGAATGAGAGGTGAGAGTTGATAACCGAACGAACGAATGAGAGGTGAGAGTTGATAACCGAACGAACGAATGAGAGGTGAGAGTTGATAACCGAACGAACGAATGAGAGATGAGAGTTGATAACCGAACGAACGAATGAGAGATGAGAGTTGATAACCGAACGAACAAATGAGAGATGAGAGTTGATAACCGAACGAACGAATGAGAGATGAGAGTTGATAACCGAACGAACGAATGAGAGATGAGAGTTGATAACCGAACGAACGAATGAGAGATGAGAGTTGATAACCGAACGAACGAATGAGAGGTGAGAGTTGATAACCGAACGAACGAATGAGAGATGAGAGTTGATAACCGAACGAAGGAATGAGAGGTGAGAGTTGAAAACCGAACGAACGAATCCGCAACCATCGACAAAATCTGACACGGCACAAAGAACCGCATTACGATAGAAATCACTCGACCTATTAACCTTTCATGAGTGCACTTACGGTCAAAATTAGATAAGTTGTTCGCGAGCTAGTTTTAATTACTCACGCAAAGCAGTGGCTTACCCACAAAAACTGGTCTCGGATTATGCACGTGGCTGTGCACACATCCAGCTGTGTGAGCAGGGGATAAGGAGGACATGCGAGTAGAGGGGAGGAAAAGGTTGAAAAATCGAACAATGTGAACTAAAAGGAACCGGTCTCGGATTATGCATGTGGCTGTGTACACATCCAGCTGTGGAAGGGAAGAGGGCATGCATGCACGGGTGGAAAAGGTGCCTTTTAAGTCGACTCAAAAGTCACTTCTGTGTAAGGTGGAAGGGAAGGGCACGTGTGTAGGGGTGGAAAAGGTGCGGGGTGTATGGATTCAAACGGAACGACCTTGCACAATGATGTATGTGTTTGTGCACACATCCAGCTGTGTGGAAAGGAAGAGAACACGTGAGGGGATGGATGGATAGTAAGAAAACAATGATCAGTATTTTAGGGTGGGAGTGGTAACAAGATTTAGGAGTGCTGGCATGAACACAGCGCGAAATCCATATTTCCGAAGCGATTGCACAGTTGACCATTCTCACCTTCAGCTGGTGCTCATTTCCCTTCATTATAAGCACTCTCACATTGACCATAAGCACACAACGCTAGCATCAAAGCTCCCATTCTAATAACACAGTCAGCCTCTTCCCTTCACCAAGCATACGTTCGCTCGTATCTAGTGCTCCCACTCCCAGCACTGTTGCTATACGCACACACATCACTTCCGCTATAGGCACACTCGTTACAGTGACGCTATCTCACCTTCACCAAGTGCACGTTCTCCTCACTCCCTCCAAGCACTGCTGCCAGGTCCTGGGCGTGCAGGGAAGACAAGTATGTGCCTTATATCAATTTAACTATAAGCACACTCGCTACAGTGTATCTCACTCACCTTCACCAGATGCACGTTCTCCTCACTCCCTCCCAGCACTGCTGCCAGGTCCTGGGCGTGCAGGGACCGGAATTCGGCCACCTGAGCCTGTATGTGTATGTGGGGATAAGAGGAAGTGCGAGGGCGGAGGAAGGGAAGGGAAGGAGTGGGTGGTGAGGCAAGCAGTGCTACCAAGTGCCCTCCTCTCCTCCCTCCCAGCACTGCTGCCAGGCCCTGGGCGTGCAGGGATCGAAATTCAGCCACCTGAGCCTGCATGGTGAGTGGGATGGGGAGTGCGGGAGTTAGGGGGGGAGGGGAAGGGGGGGCAGGGGAAGTGGGGGGTGGGGAATGGGGGGGAGGGTAAGAGGGACAGGGGAAGGGGGACAGGGGGGAAAGAGGGGCATGGAAAGGGGGGACAGAGGGGAAGAGGGGGCAGTGGAAGCGGGTGCAGGGGTAGGGGGGGGTGGGAAGGGGGGGAGGGGAAAGGGAAGGGGGAGGGAGGGGGGAAAGGGGAAGGGGTAAAAGGGGAAGAGGGGAAGGGTGGGGAGGGGAAGCGGGGGCAGGGGAAGGGAAGGGGGGGGACGAGAACGGTGGGGAGGGGGGATCAGTGGAGGCACGAGGTGGGGGGAGAGGGAAGGGAAAAGAGATGCGCTTGGACCAAAGCATGCAGTGTCCGGGAATCAGTCAGCTGGGCATGCATGTGTGGAGTGGAGGAGACGGGGGGTTGTGGGTGGGAGTCAGGAGTATGTGCAGTAGGAATTATAGGGTTTAGGGGAAGGGGAGAGAACGACGGGAAGGGCGGTTGAGGGAAGGAAAACAAGTGATGTCAGGTGCAAAAACTACTCCTCGCCTCTCTCAACTCTCCCCCCCTCCCGACCCCTCCTCTCAACTCTCCCCCCCTCCCGACCCCTCCTCTCAACTCTCCCCCCCCTCCCGACCCCTCCTCTCAACTCTCCCCCCTCCCGACCCCTCCTCTCAACTCTCCCCCCCCCCGACCCCTCCTCTCAACTCTCCCCCCCTCCCGACCCCTCCTCTCAACTCTCCCCCCCTCCCGACCCCTCCTCTCAACTCTCCCCCCCTCCCGACCCCTCCTCTCAACTCTCCCCCCCTCCCGACCCCTCCTCTCAACTCTCCCCCCCTCCCGACCCCTCCTCTCAACTCTCCCCCCCTCCCGACCCCTCCTCTCAACTCTCCCCCCCTCCCGACCCCTCCTCTCAACTCTCCCCCCCTCCCGACCCCTCCTCTCAACTCTCCCCCCCTCCCGACCCCTCCTCTCAACTCTCCCCCCCTCCCGACCCCTCCTCTCAACTCTCCCCCCCTCCCGACCCCTCCTCTCAACTCTCCCCCCCTCCCGACCCCTCCTCTCAACTCTCTGCCTTCCCTCCCCTCTCCTCCCCTCCCCCCCTCTCGCCACCCCTCCCTCCCCTCCCCTCTTTCCAACCCCAATCCGCACACCTGAATGGCCTGTGTGATGTGCGGCAGGAAATAGGGGGGAAGCTTCGTGTCCCTCACCATCCCCTCTGCAAAGGCCGCTATCTCCCCATCAGGCTCTGCAGCAAGGGGGGAATGGACGGGACGAGGGGATGGGGGACGGGATGGGGGGACGGGGATGGGTTGATGGGGATGGGGGGAGCGGAGAGGATGAGAGGAGGGCAAGGGGAGGGAGTGGGGGCGAGCAAGGGGAAAGTATGGGGGGAGCACAAGGGGAGGGAAGTGGGGCCAGTGGAACACGGAGAGAAGCGACGGGGAGCAAGGGGAAGGGGGGAAGGAAGTCAAAGGGAGGCAGGGAGGTTGTGAAGCGGAGGGGGAGGATGTGAAGCGGAGGGGGCGGATGTGAAGCGGAGGGGGCGGATGTGAAGCGGAGGGGGCGGATGTGAAGCGGAGGGGGAGGATGTGAAGCGGAGGGGGCGGATGTGAAGCGGAGGGGGAGGATGTGAAGCGGAGGGGGAGGATGTGAAGCGGAGGGGGCGGATGTGAAGCGGAGGGGGCGGATGTGAAGCGGAGGGGGCGGATGTGAAGCGGAGGGGGCGGATGTCAAGTGGAGGGAGGGAGGGAAGCCAATGGGAGGTTTTCCAAAACACGAGGGAGGGAAGGAACGAGGAGAAAGGACAGGAGGAAGAAAGGGTGAGGGAGGAGGGAGGGAAGGGAAGCGGTGGAGAAAGAGGGGAAGGACCGGACGATGGGGAAAGGCGGGCGCAATGGGATAGGCTTTAGTGGGGTGGTGGGTCCGGTGGGGGTTCAGGTGAGGGGGAATTGAAGGGGAATAACCGGGAGTCTGGGAAAAGTGAGTGGAGGCGAAAGGAATGAAAACGTTAGCAACAAGTGAGGGCCAGTCATATTACCGTTGCTGTTCCAGCAGAAGGCGTCCTGCAGCCGTTGATCTCCGATCTCGAGGTCCAATCGGACGGGCACGAGTGGGTCATCCACGAGCCTGCAGGGCGGGACGGGGAGGAGCAGAGCAGAGAACAAGAACAGAGCAGAGCAGAGCAGGGCAGAGCAGAGCAGAACAGAGCAGAGCAGAGCAGAGCAGATCAGAGTAAGGCAGGGCAGGGCAGGGCAGAGCAGAGCAGGGATTAATGGTGTGTAGGGGCGAGCTTTGCAGCGTCAACGCGCCTCAACAGGTGGCATGGCAGGGATGAATGGCGCGAAGGGGACAAAGGCAGTGCTTCTTGCTTAGATATGCGACGTGTGACGGAACTTGATGCTCTAAATGTGATTGAGAGTACAAGGCATATCTAAGCATGGCCTCTGAATGGCTTGGCAGGCAGGGGTGGATGTGACGTGCGCCTCTAACCATGCGCCGTTGGAGGTAAAACGATGGGACGACTGGGGGGAGGGAGGGGGAGTTGAAGGGAGCAAAGGCGCGCCAGGAGTCATGGAAATCCCGTCGAAGCTCGTTTGGAACCAGGTGACTCTTGAGTCGACTCAAAAGTCACCTCGCAGTGGTGCACAAGGAGCCGTGGAATTCCCGTCGAACCTCGATTGCGTTGCGGGTCACCCAGTACCACACATTTGAGGCGCCCAAAACTAGACGGCGCGAAAGGAGCCATGTTTGTTTTTTGAGAATTCTAAAAAAACAAACGCGAAAGGAGCCATGGAAATCCCACCACCCGTTCCAAACGAATCCCGTCGAAATTAGTTCGGAACCAGAAGAGACGCGACAGTCTAAAAGGCTTTGAAAAAACTTAAACTTGACAACCCACTACTCTATACGGGGGATTACGCCAACCCTAGTTGGACTGTCACGCCTAATTACCGCATGGCTGATGCGTGGCTGTCGCGACTGCCAACACGTGGATCGCTGTTGGGTGCGCCGCGCGGGCCTCGTGGTTCGTCGTTGCGTGCTGCGAGCCAGGCCGTCACTGGTATTATGCAATGCTCACTGCCTCTGAGAATACTCGAAAACAATTCGCCGTTAGCTGCGCGCGACCGCCACTGGTATTATGCAATTATCACTACCTCTGAGAATACTCGAAAACGATTCGCCGTTAGGTGCGCGCGGCCGTCACAGTTGTGCTGCGAGCTGCAAGCGGCTTTCAGACGCGTCGCTACAAGAGCGATTCTCTTCGGCTGTTTTACATTTCGCGCGAGACGCGGTAAACGCGTGAAGAGAGAAAGGGTTGCGAGGAGCAAAAGAGGCGAGCAGACAAGTAATAATTTTGTTCAAGATAGCACAGATTGGTTGGTACGGGGCGAGACATTCATTCATGTATGCTTGGTTGGTGGTATATATCATTGTTTTCCATTGCTAACACCAGGTGGGAAAACAAAGTGGAACTGATGTCTAACACGCGAAGCCATTATTAAAGAGTATGCGTAGGCAGCATATTGAATGGTGACGGCGACATCTGCTGCTGAGCTGGAAGTTCCACAAATCTTTCACGCACCGAACGTCTGGCCCCAACATGGAAGTCACAACGTGAGCGCAAGTTGGCTGGTCTTGTAGGCGAGAGTACACGTTGACACACGTTGAATGGGACGCATTTGGGGTGGTTTGCGGAAACCCTACCCTTACGTGGAGGTGTAACAAATAAGGATCCTACATGTCAGCTCAAAATGCTGACATCACCCTTACACGCAACCAACGGCCCAGACGCACAGTATTTCCGACGAGTCGCTGCTGCTATGGACCACCAGGAACCGAGCCGCATTTCTCAAGGGCCTAACTGTGTGCGCCCCGCGGAGGGCTTGTTCGTTACTTCAGCAAGCTCACGAGAGCCCTGCTCCTGGTTCGGCGGACTCAGCTTCGGACTCGAATCTCCTCAGTTACATCACGTACGGTACTCACCAACCATGCGTTGTCACTTCGTTGGGTTTGGGTTTTCTCGGGGGCAGGAAACGGTTGGGAAGGTTAAGGAGATCAGAGAAAGTAAAAAAATCTGGTTTGGTGAAATCTCACCCATTTCAGCACAAACACCCTCCCCTAGCCAGAACTCCCCGCGCTTCGAAGCCTCGGTGCGGTATTTAGGGCGACGGGAGTTGTTTGCATTTCCCATCCAACCCACCAACGCCCTCATCCCACCAGCCAACACTCTCATCCCAACAGCCAACACTCTCATCTCACGCCCCATCTAACACTCAGTGAGAGGCTCTCATCGTACGCCCTCATCTCACCTCAACTCCATCATGGCCTCGCACTTTTCATTCCTATCCGCATCCCTCGTCCTTTTGCTCCTCGCTACGGCGAGCAGCGTATTCGCGCGACACCACTCTTCGGGAATCTCTGCCGTTACTAAGCCCGCCGCAGCGTGCGCCGCCTCGACTCTGGCGCCATACGCGAAGTCCGTCAAACTTACTGATGACGGGTACGTGTCTGACATCGCAAAATTTTTATGAGATTACAAATGTACACGGTAGCGTTTCGTGCGAAAAAAATCTTCGGAAGAAAAATAGCCTAATTTTAGAACGCTTCCGAATTAAAACGCTTCCTGATCGAAATTAGTAGCATCTTCTTTTGAGCAGATCTTTTTTTTCGTTTCGTACACCCGCAATGAAATGTAGTGGCCTTCATTCTCAGTGACAAAGGGCCTTTCTCACCCGATTCCCATGATCTCAGTCTGTTTGTCCTGCACTGGAACATCACCAAGAAGAACGACGGGATCATGGCTGCGATCGAGGCGAAGGCCGGGAGCGGCGGCGAGACGGGCTGGATCTCCATTGGCTGGACAAAGAAGCCCGGCCTCATGGCCCCTGCCGACGCCGTGGTGGGGAATTTGGCGGGAGCCGCGCCGAACAACGTGCTGGCTTACGCGATGACGGGCAAGGTTCCGGCTCAGATCAAGAAGGCAGCCCCTGCCGCAGTGAAGCTGTCAGCAAAGTCCGTGGTTACCACTTCTGACGGTGGCAAAATCGTCAAGTGAGTTGTGCTCTTTTTTTTTTTTTTTTTTGCGCAAAACCGCCCTCATGATGCCCCTCCAAGGTTGTTCTTTCCTCAAGTCGCTATCCCATGTATTTAAATTCTCATTTCAGGTTCACTCGTATGGGCAAGGGAGGTCTGGGTCCTGTCAATTACCTGGGTAGCAACAACATGATCTGGGCCTACTCCGACGCCCAGGCTTTCACCTCCCACGCCAATCGGTAAATTCTCGAACCTACTCACGTTCTTTGTTACTTTGCATGTATATTTTCCTGCTGTGCTCTGTTGGTACCAGTGCCTTACTTCGTGTGTTTATTGTTACCAGGGGTTCGCTTGTCGTCAACCTCGCATGCAAGGTGTAATTGCATTCCGTGACTCACGGCTCAGGGGGTTGTGGTTAGAAGTTGAATCGGGACAGCTGTATGATGCAGGGCATCAAGGAGTCGGCAATAATGTGACCCTTGTTTGCTGAATGTTGTTGTAAGTGCCTTTAAACGATTTTAATTGTGTTCCAAGCGTCTTGAGCGATTCTGATTGTTGCAAGTGTCTGATTCTGGTCATTTTTCTGGACGTTCATACAGTATTTAATACTAGGGAGGACAGGTATCTATATACAGTACCAGAAAAGTCAAAGCAATAATTAAACCTACAAAGTTCAGTAACTAAGGCGCTGGTTGTGGCTTTGATTGTTCTATCAGCTTCTTCAGCTTCAACTCTGCTTGACTTGATATCATGCAAAATTGCTTCAGTGGCTCTGGCAGCAAATCGTGCGCACTCCACCACCTCTTATGAGCCGCCTCATTAGTGAAGTCGAAGAAATAGGGTAGTAGGATGTTGCAATCAAACTCACGATAACACCACCATGGCTTCATGCCAAGGTAGTGTATTGCGTGAATTTCTGAAGGGTCTTCTGAAAACCACCTGCTTTTCATATAGACGAGAGCTTGTTTCTTGACAGGGTCAGAGGTCCAGACCGGTTTGAGGATGTTTACGGAGTCTGGTGCGCGGTGCCACCAGGTGAAGATATTGTTCAAGAAGCCCTGGATACAGGGAAGCATGAGGGAATTTGGTGGTAAATAAATTCAGTGGAATCGAGGACCAAGGGAACTGACAATCTGCAGACTGATTTGCAGAAGTGATGTACTGCAAAGGGGTGATAGAGAGCTGCATCACGCCTTGGTCTCACCTGGACCCCATCGTCGGCCAATCGCATTCCTTTCAGCTTCACAACAGGCACTCGACATACATATAATGAAACATAGAAACCGTTTGAACCTTCACCTGGCTTCCACTGCAATAGGGAAATAGGGAGTCGCATCACATGACACATGAAAACGTGGTCCCCCCATTGGTCTCACCTGGTCCCCTCCATTCTCCGATCGCACGCGCTCAAGATTTGCCATCAGCAGCTCAAACGTGCAATCCGACGGCTCCAAGACCATCACGCCTGAGTTGAAATCCGTGCCGTCGTTACCGCGGGCGGAAATCTCAGGGTAGGAGAAGAGAAAGTCAATGCTGTTCAACAGGAGCAGGTCCGAGTCAATGAAGAGCAGCTTGGTGTATTCTGTCTGCTGCCACAGCCGCAGCTTGCTGGAAAGGGTTGGGGGAAGGAGAACGGGAGGGCGTGATGCAGGGGGAATGAGTAGACAAGTCAATGGAGTCAACGCTGTTCAAGCGGAGCAGGTCCGAGTCAATGAAGACCAGCTTGGTGTATTCTGTCTGCTGCCACAGCCGCAGCTTGCTGGGGTAGGGGGTGGAGTGGGTTGGTGGGGGGGAAAGACCGCAGGGGGTGGTGAAGAAGAGTCAACAAGTCAAAGTGAGTCAGCGTATGGAATGAAAGACAGTGGCAGGAGTCAAATTAAACCACAGAAGTCCAATCATATATACAGAATGTCAGATGTAAATTCTCAAGGTAATCGTGATTCAAAGGAATTAGGTGGGTGAAAGAGGCACAAGATTCACCAAGACAAATATTCTAAGAAAATACCAAGCTCTACCACGGATTTTTCCAATCAACAAGCACACTCAAGTCTACCTCCTCTTGCTATAAGCACACATACTTCTAGCTCCACTCGCTACAAGCACACAAACTTGTAGCTCGATACACGCACACAGACCTGTATTTCTACTCGCTATAAACACACGAACCTGTAATTCCACTCGTTATAAGTTCCATTGATTGCGTGGGGGTTGCGAATCCTCTCAATCTCCTTCACCGTCCACCCCGCCTCCTTAAGCCCTCGCCTGCTCTCCTCTTGAATCTCCTTCGATACAAGCACAACCATCTCGTGCGTGCTGCCCGTCCTCCTTATGCTCTGCCCCAATACTATTGCGCCGCACACGTAGCGATCCGATGAGTGTAGCACTGTAGCATACGCGACGCGTTGGTTGGCTGAGGGGAGGGGAGAAAGGGACGCACGTGGAGAGGAAGGAGGGAGTTCAAATATAAACGGATAGAAGTACGCTACTGTACATGCAGCGCAAGAGCGAAATACCAACCTGCAACCTTGCATGTTGAGTGGTATGACAGTTAATGACTATGCTGTTCACCTCTTGTCTCCTACCTGCCACCTCGCTATTGATAGGCTGAGCCATGGCGCATGATCCCACGGGCTGTACACGTGTCAGAATGTCACTGGTGGTCAGGTTGTACAGCCACGTGTCGCCTTCCCGTGTCACGAGTCGCGAGCAGTGGAAGAGGTTGGGCGGCGGGCGGCATGCGGAGAGTAACACCACTGGTAACCACGTGCGATTCGCCTGTTACAGAGAGATCGTACAAGGGGATTGGAGGAATAAGGCGGAGGGCAACACCACTGGTATCCACAGTTGGTGAACCTGGAACCGGGGAACCGAGAGAAGGGTTGGCTGAACTTCAGCCAAACCTTTTTTTTCTTTAAGGTGCATGGATGAGTCGACACAAGGAGATTAGCGTCACAGGTAACCACGGGCGATTTGCCACGGTACAGGGGGTTTGGGAGAGGGAGAATGGATGACACGTGGAAAGCAGCACCACTGATAACCATGCCACGGGCGGCGAGGCTGCAACAAGATTGATGAGGGGGATTGGAATACAGTACCCTTGTGACGAAGCTTGTTATAGTGAGAAGTTGGTGAAGCCAGCGAACATCCTTTGCCCAGGAATCGCTAGGCTCGTCGCAGGGCACATGTGCGACAATGGCGTCGATGCTGGTCAGCCAATCTGGATTGTTCGGTTCCGGAATTCTTGGGCAGGATGCGTCGGATTCGTTCACCCATACAGGGTACACGTCACTCCACGTCAGATTCTCGGGCACACGCGGAACAGGCAGCGAGAGAAGCTTGTAGCGCGTGGCGACGGAGGCGCTGGTAGCGGGGGGGTCGAGATTGAACGTCGCGACATTGGCGAACGAAAGGCGAGTTTTTTGCTGGAACGAGATCAGAGCGGCGAAAGCGCGATCGAAAGCGACGAGAGGGCCATCTCCTTCAAGCGGGGGCTTAGCCGGCGGGGATTCAGCAGGTAAGGCTACAGCCGGCGGGGAATCAGCAGGTAAGGCTACAGCCGGCGGGGAATCAGCAGGTAAGGCTACGGTCGATTGGGAATCAGAAGGTAAAGGTACAGCCTTCGGGGAATCAGCAGATAAGGTTACAGCCGGCGTAGATTCAGCAGTTAAGGATACAGGCGGCGGGGAATCAGCAGGTAAGAGTACAGTAGGTGGGGAATCAGAAGGTAAGGCTACAGCTGGCGGGGAATCAGCAGGCAATGATACAGCCGGTGGGGGTTCAGCAGGTAAGGCTACAGCGGGTGCGGAGTCAGCAGGTAAGGGTACAGCCGCAAATCTTTCCTGGTAAACGCTCCCCGAAGTATCATCTAAAGGGAGACGGCTATCCGCCGCTAACTTAGCATGATTGAACGCATTCTTATCAAACCACCCAATAGGCGAGTGCCACGTGGCAGAGGCCATGAAAAACTGGTAAGTTACAAGGAGCAGACCGAGCGCCACGACGAAACAGCGAGCCGCTAAGAATAGCTTATCTTGAGGCTTGAGCTGCGGCAGGGAATCTAAGAAGGTAGTCACTGGCTGATAAGTCGAAGGAAGCTCTTCGTCCCCCTTCGACGCACTATGCGCAGCACCGTTGATCATTGCGAAGTGGGTGATTGGACGGCACTGTAGCACTCCGTGAGAATTCTTGTGGTGGTGGCACTTGTACTATCTTTTGAGAAAAGGACCTAGAGTAGTAGCATAGGAAAATGACCTATCTTTCGGCTGCCAGCGAGCATTTGAGAATGTTACGGCAAAACGCACTCACGACGGCAACTCAGAAAAGGAGTTGGCATGAGCTACGACTCACGACACGACTCATGGTGAAGAGCTATGGTCGTGTACAGGTATGGTCGTGTTTGTGATGTACATCAGCAGCGCAATTGTGCGCTTCGTGTTGTGTGTTGCTTGAGCTGGGGCTCGTGCAGGCAGCTTTCGTGTCGTGTGTAGGTTCGGGCGCCTTTTGGTTGGGGCTCGATGTGGGCTCTGATTGACTGCGAGGTACGACGACGCTGTGAATCGTAACAGCGGTGTCTGCGGGCGAAAGAACATTTTTTCGCCAAGCATCAAATTTCCCAAACCAAACCGCAAATTTCGGACAGAAGGGGTCAGCGCCGCGCATCAACCAGAATCCCTGGCGTGGCATGCTCTCTGGTCTTGAGTGTGATAAGGCTCGGCAAACGCGACGCGATTGTAAGGGGAGCTACTGCTTGGCATGGCGCCGAACCTGTGGGTGACAAGCTCGATCACATAGAATCCGCCCCGCACGAGGCTCAACAACATGCTTGCCCTTGGCAACGATCTTGGTAACTGAACGTCGCAAGAGCTTACGATCTTCGTAAGGCTTCTTCTGACGGGAAGGCCGCTTCCACAATCTGTCATGGCAACTCCGATATACAGTATCGCGCTTTTACCGACCGTTAAACAATTCCGAAAGTTTTGGTCACTCTACACAAAACGCATCTTAAAGCCAGGGTCTCATGTACGGCGTTTGGGGTCAACTGCAAAGCACTTGGCGGGAGTGGTTACTTTGTGACTCAAAACGAAGAGGGGGTTGGGTTGGAAGCACAGAAACCGACCTTGCGACACACAAAACACAGCAAGCGACTTACGCACCAACCAAAAGGTCGCAAGCACAACCCGCCACTCCCACACACAAATGCAACTGCACAACAAGCAGTGCCTTACATGAGACTACGACTTCCGTTAGGGTGAGGCAATCACGCCTCCTCCCACGCGATTAGCACTTGCTACCAAGCTCATAAACTTCCGACGACCGTCCCGACGCGCACGCGTCCTGTCCACTACCCCGCGCGATAAGCGCAAAGCAAAGAGCCCATTCCGGCGCGCCCAAGCAACGATGCGAGAGGGGAGGCGCCGTAGGCGCAATGCCAGCGACGTAGCCCGCAGTCGCTCTGTGAACGAAAACCAGAATTCCCACGGTGGCCACGTGCAGGTACGCCCCGACACGACGAGCACTGAAAGTCAACGTGCACATGTAGCATGAGCGTACGCCACTCAGCGGAGGGAGTGCCCACATCGCGCAAAGCATGCATTGCGTGAGACAAACCTACAGACAAAAACCAAGACACGGGTGTGCAGTGCAAAAAGGGCGAGGCTTTCACATCTCGGACAACAGTGGCCGACCAAACACCATTCGCTGCACGCACATGTGAACTCAGCGTGCAACGAAGGCCAGCGCCGCAGGCCTAAAGCGACGCGGGGCGCATATCAGGACACAGCTAAAAAAAGCATAAAAAGCGCCATCCATACATGCGACCTGTGCCGCGCGTATGAGGGCAGCGCCATGCGCAGGAGGGCAGCGCCATGCATATGAGGGCAGCGCCGCGATAGTGAGGGAGGCGCCGTCCATGTGAGGGGAGCGCCGTGCATATGAGATGAAGCGCCGCGCAGTTGAGGCCAGCGCCGCGCCTATCAGGCCACCGCGGCGCATATCAGGCCACCGCGGCGCATATCAGGCCACCGCGGCGCATATCAGGCCACCGCGGCGCATATCAGGCCACCGCGGCGCATATCAGGCCACCGCGGCGCATATCAGGCCAGCGCCAAATCACACGGAAAGGGATATCATTTGGCATGTGCGCCGGGCAGGGATGGCCAGCGTGCGCTGTGACATGGACTGGCCGTTACACGCCGCACTAAGGGGACACCATCCGTAGCAGAGCGCGTCTCAGTTCCCCGCATTCGCCTGCACTTCCACCACAGTCGCGACGCGGGCCAATCTCACAAGCGTATACAATGCACACTCACACTCACCAACCCAGCACCCTGAGCAGACCCTGACCCTATAGTCTCACATTCCCCTCCTCTGCCTGCTCAAATACCCACTACCCGCACTTACACATACCCCACCCTTCGCTCACGGATCCCATTACCCTTCCCTCTCGCATTTCCTCCCGCACCCTCACATTCTGCGTGGCGCCGCACTCTCACATTCCCTTCTGCTCGCACTCAAACCTTCCCTCCTGCTCGCACTCTCACTTTCCCTCGTGTCGTGCACTCTCCCAGTTTCACCCTATTATAAACCCTCACATTCCCGTACGACTCCAACCTCAACGACCATCCTGTCCCCCACTCCCACTTTCCCCCTTGCCTCGCAGTCACATATTCCCTCCCGTCCCGCACCCTCACATTCCGCCCTGCACCGCGCTCTCACATTCCGTGCTGCTCGCACTCTAACATTCCCTCCCGCTCGCACTCTCACATTCCCTCATGTCCTGCACTCTCACAGTGTCAAACTGTGAAAAACGTCCACATTATCACATGTGACGCACACTCACACTCTAGGGTGTCCCGCACCCGAACATTCCCTCCTGCCCCACAACGTCTTGCATACAGGCTTGCTATGCACTCAAGCTTTCGCGCCTGCCCTGCACTCTCACAATCCCACAGTCCCGGCACTCTCAAAGAGCCGCACACTCACATTCCCCCATGCCCAGCACTCACACATTCCCCCATGCCCAGCACTCACACATTCCCCCATGCCCAGCACTCACACATTCCCCCATGCCCAGCACTCACACATTCCCCCATGCCCAGCACTCACACATTCCCCCATGCCCAGCACTCACACATTCCCCCATGCCCAGCACTCACACATTCCCCCATGCCCAGCACTCACACATTCCCCCATGCCCAGCACTCACACATTCCCCCATGCCCAGCACTCACACATTCCCCCATGCCCAGCACTCACACATTCCCCCATGCCCAGCACTCACACATTCCCCCATGCCCAGCACTCACACATTCCCCCATGCCCAGCACTCACACATTCCCCCATGCCCAGCACTCACACATTCCCCCATGCCCAGCACTCACACATTCCCCCATGCCCAGCACTCACACATTCCCCCATGCCCAGCACTCACACATTCCCCCATGCCCAGCACTCACACATTCCCCCATGCCCAGCACTCACACATTCCCCCATGCCCAGCACTCACACATTCCCCCATGCCCAGCACTCACACATTCCCCCATGCCCAGCACTCACACATTCCCCCATGCCCAGCACTCACACATTCCCCCATGCCCAGCACTCACACATTCCCCCATGCCCAGCACTCACACATTCCCCCATGCCCAGCACTCACACATTCCCCCATGCCCAGCACTCACACATTCCCCCATGCCCAGCACTCACACATTCCCCCATGCCCAGCACTCACACATTCCCCCATGCCCAGCACTCACACATTCCCCCATGCCCAGCACTCACACATTCCCCCATGCCCAGCACTCACACATTCCCCCATGCCCAGCACTCACACATTCCCCCATGCCCAGCACTCACACATTCCCCCATGCCCAGCACTCACACATTCCCCCATGCCCAGCACTCACACATTCCCCCATGCCCAGCACTCACACATTCCCCCATGCCCAGCACTCACACATTCCCCCATGCCCAGCACTCACACATTCCCCCATGCCCAGCACTCACACATTCCCCCATGCCCAGCACTCACACATTCCCCCATGCCCAGCACTCACACATTCCCCCATGCCCAGCACTCACACATTCCCCCATGCCCAGCACTCACACATTCCCCCATGCCCAGCACTCACACATTCCCCCATGCCCAGCACTCACACATTCCCCCATGCCCAGCACTCACACATTCCCCCATGCCCAGCACTCACACATTCCCCCATGCCCAGCACTCACACATTCCCCCATGCCCAGCACTCACACATTCCCCCATGCCCAGCACTCACACATTCCCCCATGCCCAGCACTCACACATTCCCCCATGCCCAGCACTCACACATTCCCCCATGCCCAGCACTCACACATTCCCCCATGCCCAGCACTCACACATTCCCCCATGCCCAGCACTCACACATTCCCCCATGCCCAGCACTCACACATTCCCCCATGCCCAGCACTCACACATTCCCCCATGCCCAGCACTCACACATTCCCCCATGCCCAGCACTCACACATTCCCCCATGCCCAGCACTCACACATTCCCCCATGCCCAGCACTCACACATTCCCCCATGCCCAGCACTCACACATTCCCCCATGCCCAGCACTCACACATTCCCCCATGCCCAGCACTCACACATTCCCCCATGCCCAGCACTCACACATTCCCCCATGCCCAGCACTCACACATTCCCCCATGCCCAGCACTCACACATTCCCCCATGCCCAGCACTCACACATTCCCCCATGCCCAGCACTCACACATTCCCCCATGCCCAGCACTCACACATTCCCCCATGCCCAGCACTCACACATTCCCCCATGCCCAGCACTCACACATTCCCCCATGCCCAGCACTCACACATTCCCCCATGCCCAGCACTCACACATTCCCCCATGCCCAGCACTCACACATTCCCCCATGCCCAGCACTCACACATTCCCCCATGCCCAGCACTCACACATTCCCCCATGCCCAGCACTCACACATTCCCCCATGCCCAGCACTCACACATTCCCCCATGCCCAGCACTCACACATTCCCCCATGCCCAGCACTCACACATTCCCCCATGCCCAGCACTCACACATTCCCCCATGCCCAGCACTCACACATTCCCCCATGCCCAGCACTCACACATTCCCCCATGCCCAGCACTCACACATTCCCCCATGCCCAGCACTCACACATTCCCCCATGCCCAGCACTCACACATTCCCCCATGCCCAGCACTCACACATTCCCCCATGCCCAGCACTCACACATTCCCCTTCTTTGCTCTCTGACATTCCCCTACCCTGCACTCTCACATTCCACGCCTCTGCAGTCTCACATTCCCCTTCACTGCATTCTCACATTCCTCTACCCCGCACTGTCACCTTCCCCTTCCTTGCACTCTCACATTGCCCTACCCTGAGACCCTCACATTCCCCTCCCCTGCACTCTCACATTGCCCTACCCAGCACTCCCACATTCCCCTGTCGGGGTTGTCTCACCATCGCACTCCCTGTCTTTCCCCTGTCCCGCACTCTCACATTCCCTCCTGTTTCGCACTCTCACACTCCCTCCTGTATCGTGCCCTCGCATTCCCTCCAGCCAGGAATGGGCACTTTCACATTCCCTCCAGCCAGTCATGGGCTCTCTCACATTCCCATCAGCCAATCAAGGGCACTCTCACATTCCCTCGTGTCCAGCACTCGCACATGTACCTCATGTCCAGCACTCTCACGTTCCCTCATGTCGTGCACTCTCACAGGAACAAACTGTGAGAAACCCTCACATTCTGCTATGTCGTGCACTCTCACATTCCCTCCTGCCCCTCGACGTCTTGCATACAGGCTTGCCTTGCACTCAAGCTTTCCCGCCTGCCCGGCACTCTCACAATCCCACAAGTCCCAACACTCTCACATTCCCTCATGCCCTGCACTCTCACATTCCCCTACCCTGCACTCTCACATTCCCCTACCATGCAGTCTCACACTCCCCTTCCTTGCTCTCTCACATTCCCATACCCTGCACTCTCACGAGCCCCTTCCCTGCTGTCTCACATTTCCCCTTTCCAGCACTCCCACATTCCCCTCCCCTACAGTCTCGCATTCCCCTTCACTGCATTGTCACATTCCCCTACCCCGAACTCTCACCTTCCCCTTCCTTGCACACTCACATTCCCCTACCCGGAGACTCCCACATTCCCCTTCCCTGCATTCAACTTCTAGGGCACTCAACCCTCGCATTTCCCATCCCTGCACTCTGGCATTCCCCCTCCCTACACTCTCACATACTCTATCCTGCAATTCTAACTTATTTTCAACCCTCTTACATGGTACCCACTCCCCAACACCCATTCCGCCAACAGAAGATGCTTTGGGGAGCATAAGAGCAACGGATCAGCGGGCCGTGGGAGCAAGGGATCAGCACAACGGGGGAGCAGCGAGGCGCGGGAGGGAAGAGGAGCATTGATGGAGGGGTTGCCTCCCTGACCGTCTCCCTAGGACCCCCTCACTTGGGGTTGTTACAGCCTCTTTTATAACTCCTTATTGTCACATTGAAGCGCCCGCCGACGGGCATTTCGATGACAAGCACCTCCTATCGTGTGCAGAGGGGATACTATTCGTTTTCGTTGGTGCTTGCACGCCGAACTTGATTCCTACCCGTATGCGAGTACTGCGGTGAAGGGAGATGTGGGGTTGCGCCGCGCATATGAGGACTGGATCAGACGGGGGCTGGATAGTTAGCATTCCGCGTAGTATGCATAGTGGGAGGGGTGTGCTCCTCGTAGAGCAATTTTGCCCCGTAACGACCGTCGGAATGCGGTTTTGTAATTGCGCAGCCTGCCATGTGACGCCACGGTGCGGGCGAGTTTACGAGCATGGCAGTCGTCCCCTGATGTGAACTCGAATTGTGAGTCCTCACGCCGTGTAGCCCTAAAAATCGCATCTAATCCGCAATTTAGCCCTAAAAATCGCATCTAATCCGCAATTCCGGGTTGCGCTCATACGTTGCAGGTTGTGGCGCATGTCCGTCACACGTCGCAATGGGCGAGTAACTCCACATCAGCTATGAGCGTAATCGCACCATCATTTCGGCGCTCACGCTAACGTCCGGCTCATCGCCATTGGTCGCTTCCGCGTAGGTACATTTCTTCATGCGCAGGGCCAATGCGTGTCTCTGGCGTCACTACGTACCTCGGTATTCACATGTGCCTGTTTGTCGTCGCCTTACAACCAGCACCAGGTCCCGTGTGCGTAAGGTCTAATTAGGTCTACGGCTGGTGAGTAATGGTGTTTGTCAGGGATGTCTCAGTTCGAAATTGTGCAAAACAGTTGACTCAGCCCTGGGCTTGGCGTGCGACACCAGATCCGTCGTCACAGATTGTTTTTCCCATCCCCCTGCGATCGAGGGTAATGGGTTCGCGAAGATGTGAGGATTCATGTTGCGAAGTGCAGTTTCTTTGGCGAGTGTCGTTTTGACAGGACGTTTGTTCGTGATTCGTCAGCCAATCAGTCCAACCCTTTTTTTGTCGACTGCAAAGCACTTGCTCTACTTGAGACCCTGGCTTTAACTCTTCTCGGTTTTTGGTAAACTTCGTGCCTCACGGTGGTGTTGTTTTTGACCTTCCGACGCCATTTCCTAGATTCCGGAGCCAAATTCCAGAATCCCGTAGCGCGTGCTTCCACCTGATCTGAGGCGGTAAGATCGAGAGCGATCGGGAGGGAATTTCGCGATCGATCGTAACGCGGCGATGGCGGCGGCTGCGAAAGTGATTCGCCCGATAACGTTCGTGACGGGCAATGCGAAGAAGCTGGAGGAGGTGAAGGCGATCTTCGGGTCGTCCGTCGCCCTGCGAAGCCGGAAGATCGATTGTGAGTCGCCCTGCGACAGGATTAGAACCTCGGCGACAGGAATAGTAGCTATGCGACAGGAGTAGCACAGTGCTATGGTAACCGCTCCGCGACGAAATCAGCTCCTCCTAGCGTAGTCGCAGGAGCCTCCTGCAGCAGCTTCCCGTAGCGTCTAGATCCTTCTGAATCCCAGACGGTCCGGGTTCGAACGAGGGTTTCACCTTTCCCGCAGTACTGCTACGAGCCTGCACTCGGCTCATCCTCTCCTTTGCACGGAACGTGACGGGAACTCGAAATGTGACGGGAACGCGAAACGTGACGGGAACGGACGGAATCCCAAAACAGCGTGTTGCAACCATTTGCAGCTTAGACGAGACAAAGGGAGGGATACCCGTCTGCGCTGCATATGATTGCAGCACGCTTGCTGTTCGCAAGCTCGTTTCGAAACACGTGAATTCGCATTCCACATCAGTCCGATCATAACCTGTTGGACCTTTCCAAGCTCTCTACACAGCTTCTCACTCTCTCACTCCACACTCTCTCCACCCTCCCGTCCATCACAGTACCAGGGCTGCAAGTGAACCAGAAAACGTCTTTAAGGAAAAAGCCACACTCTCTCCACACGCTCTCCACACTCTCTCCACACGCTCTCCACACTCTCTCCACACGCTCTCCACACTCTCTCCACACGCTCTCCACACTCTCTCCACACGCTCTCCACACTCTCTCCACACGCTCTCCACACTCTCTCCACACGCTCTCCACACTCTCTCCACACGCTCTCCACACTCTCTCCACACGCCCTCCACACTCTCTCCACACGCTCTCCACACTCTCTCCACACGCTCTCCACACTCTCTCCACACGCTCTCCACACTCTCTTCACACGCTCTCCACACTCTCTCCACACGCTCTCCACACTCTCTCCACACGCTCTCCACCCTCCCGGCCATGGCAGTACCGGAGCTGCAGGGCGAGCCGGAAGACATCTCCAAGGAGAAGGCTAGACTCGCTGCTGCTAAGGTTGCTGCCTCCCCCGTCCGCCGCTCCCCCTTCCGCCTCTTCCCCTCTTCCGCCTCTTCACCTTCTTCCCCTTTCCGCCTCTTCCCGCTCCCTCGTCTTCCCCCTTCCGCCTCTTTCCCCTCCCGCCTCTTCCCCCTTCCGCCTCTTCCCCCTCCCGCCTCTTCCCCCTTCTGCCTAACCCCCATTCCGCCTTTTCCGCTTCCACAACTCTCTTTTGCTTCTTGCTACAGCTCTTTGCATCTTCAGTCGCTCCCCCCCCCTTGTACTCTCGTTCTCGCTTGTGTGCAACTTCACTTTTGTTGAAACATATAAAAAATTGTTTAGGTCGAATCAACTGAACCTTTACATATCGTTTTATGCGTGTGATTGTGGTGCATATGTGGGTTTTTCTGTGCTTGTAACCTGTGCGTGTGTCCATATGTGGTGTCTCCTGCAATTGTAACACGTCCATGTGGTCTTTCCTGTGATGTGTTTGCTGTGATTGTAACGAGGTGGTGTTTATGTGACAAAAAACAGGTAGACGGCCCAGTGCTTGTGGAAGACACGTGTCTGTGCTTCAATGCACTCAACGGCCTGCCAGGTGGGGAGGTGGGAGAGGGGCGAGGAGAGGGATAAGGGAGAGTAGATAAGGGAGGGTAGATAAAGGAGGGTAGATAATGGAGGGTAGATAAGGGAGGGTAGATATGGGAGGGTAGATAAGGGAGGGTAGATGAGGGAGGGTAGATAAGGGAGGGTAGATAAGGGTGGGTAGATAAGGCAGGGTAGATAAGGGAGGGTAGATAAGGGAGGGTAGATAAGGGAGGGTGGATAAGGGAGGGTAGATAAGGGAGGGTAGAGGGCGGTCCAGTGCTTTGAAGGACACGTGCATGTGCTTCAATGCACTCAACGGCCTGCCAGGTGGGGAAGGTGACAGGGGTGGGAGAAGGGGAAGGGGAGAGTGGGGAGGAGGGAGGGGAGAGGGGGAAGGGGAGAAGGGAGGGGGAAGAGGGGGGAGGGAGGGGAGAGGGGATTGGGTTGAAGGGCAAGGGGAGGGTAGATGGAGCGTGAGCGAGTATGTGGTGGGGAAACTTGCGGGAAAGGGGGAGGCGGAGAGGGGGAGAGGAAGGGAGGTCTGAAGCCCTTTGAGTTGGCTTCTGACAAGGGAGAGAGGAAGAGACATTCAACTAGACTTTCATTATTCAGCTGCCACGTATTACATGGGAGGACCAATTGTTGTTTGCTACCTTTCCTGCTTCCCACTCTCCCTGTTCCTCACGTTGATGGATTTCCATTTTTATTTTGGCCTTTTTACCTCTCTCATTCGCTCACTTCTTCCTGTTTCCTGTTTCCCTCTCTTCCCCAACTTGTCCCTCGCATGACTACATGTCACTTCGCTCGTGTCAACTGTTGCAGGCCCATACATGTGAGTCACACTATTGCCAAGATGTCTTTTATGTCAGCTCACAAGCGAATATTGTTAATCAATAAGAAAGTCCCATGTCTGAAGCCACTTGCATGCATGTAAGGCACACAGTAACTGGATGGTTAATTAAATGGCTGACTGGATGCTTGAGTGAATGCTTTACTGCATGCCTGACTGCCTGCTGGATTGCATGGTGGGCTGCATGTGTGGCTGCAGAAAGTGGTTTCTGGACAAGACCGGTCATGAGGGTATGGTCTCCAATCACATGCGCTCATTTTCTCGCACATGGTTTTGTGTTTTTCACATGCACTCGTAGTTCTCACATGCAGCCTGTTTTTCTCCCGTTGCAGTCACTCGTTACACAAAAGTTCACCTGTTCCCATTGGCCTTCAATTCAAACCTTTCTTTTCTGCCAACACGTATTTCAGAAAGCAATACACAGCGAATAATCACATTCGGATTCTATCACTCACCTCCGAAGTGCACACACGGCCAAGGAGGGCCGACCTGTGTGTGCTCTCTTTGAACGCTCCCATCGCCCTCTCACCAGGCCTGAACAACCTCCTGGCAGCATATGAGGACAAGTCCGCCTATGCTCTCTGCATCTTCTCCCTCTGCCTGGGGCCCCAGCATGAGCCCTTGAGTTTTGCTGGACGGACAGAGGTATGTTGGTGGTGTGGCATGGAGTATGGAGGGGTGAGAATGGATACCTCGAGAACTACTGAGTGAGGAGAGAGGAGCACACACATAAGTCTGCCTACGCTTTGACCCTCAGCACAAACCCCTGAGCTTCGCTGGAAGGACAGAGGGATGGCTTATGGTTAAGGGGGGTGAATGGAGGCATGGCATTTGGAATGTGGTCCCCAAGCATGAGCCCCTGAGCATCACTGGGAGCACAGTTGTATGGCCGAGGTATGGGTGGAGAGGTGTGGGTGGAGAGGTGTGGGTGCAGAGGTTTGGGTGGAGAGGCTTGGCGTAAGGGGTAGAACTGTGTGGTCAGAAAGGTTGAGGTGGGGAGGTGAAACACAAGCTGCAGAGAGGGATGGGTGGAATGGTTTATCATGAGGTGCAGAGAGGTATGGATGCAGAGGTGTGGACGGATAGCAGTATTTAGAGAAGTTCGGATAAGTGGAGGAGGATGCTTTGTTGCTGCAGGTACATACTGCAGGCATTGTGTCTATGATGCAAGTTTCTCTCACCATGCGCCCGCACACACCCGACCCCCCCCACACACACGCTCGCATACACACACACAAAAGCACATACACTCACATACACACGGACGAACATTCACACATACAGATACACATAGACATACACCAGCACATCTCCAGTTACACACACATATTATGGTGCTTATCCACATGCTTTTGCTCAGGAGCTTCCATCTGACTTCTTGATGCCCTTGTCCGCCAGGGCAAGATAGTCCCAGCAAGGGGCCCAAAAGATTTCGGCTGGGATCCTGTGTTTCAGCCTGATGGCTTCGATCAGACGTGAGTTGTGTCGTAATTTGATTCTTCTATGGTATTCTTGCAAACGGATTCTATCTCCTCTACACTGGGCTTTCTTTTCTCATAATGTGGTCTTAGAAGTTCGTGGTGCCATGTCTTGCTTGTTTTTCATTGTCAGTTACGCAGAACTGCCCAAGGAAACCAAGAACCAAATTTCACACCGAAGACGGGCACTCGACCTAGTGAAGAAGCACTTTCAAGAAGAGAATTTTGTGTTTGAGGATGTGGACGACGAGCAATTGCAAAAAAAAGGCGCGGACTGATTCTTGTACTTTTTTCTATAGCATGGGCTTGCCAGCCTATGTGTAGAACATACTGTAAAACAAGATGGAATGGCTTTCCGATTTTGACAAGTAATATGCAATCGAGCATACCGTACTACATGCGTTTGCCTTCGATAAAACAAGAGGGGCGGCGGATTACAACACACACTCAGCTCCCATAGTAGGTCTTTCCCGCCGGAATTCGATTTCTGTCAGGGTGTCAGTCAGTTTTCGGATAATGTCGCGGTCCGGTCAAACTGACTCTCGAAATTGCCGTTCACATTCCATTTTGCGGAGCTGTCATTCAATCAGCGTGTCAAACGGTCAACAGTGTCTGACTGCCTGCTAGTTTCCCTTTCCTCTGTCCGTCTGTTATTTCCCCTTGCGTCTCCAGCCAAGCGCATATTCCTGACTGTCCATCACGGTATTCTCCCAATCACATTCGCGATGTCATGGAGCCGTCAAGTCTGACGATTTCATTGTCAATCAGCATGAACCCCAACGATCCGTCCTGCCTGATGTTCCATCTATGTCTGTCCATCAGCTTACTCTGAGGAAATGACTGCTTTGCTGTGATTCCAGAACATTAATACTGTTTTCTAGTTAGAGTTTTAATGACAGAGACCAATAGTTCCTGAGGAGTGGTGAACAATCCACGTCAGTACCTTTAAAGCGAAGTTGCGTAGCTTTGATACGTCGAGTTTCAAGGGCAGCGTCATTCGCGTTGGACGGATCGGACTTGAAGTTTTGGATACTCCGGTGCCTGCCATAGCTATGATATCCATCACCATGTGGTTTCCGAGTAAACCCTTGACTGCAGGATTGTCATGAAAGAATAACCATTCTCCGTAGCTGCGTTACGTCCGTCCAATCAGCTTTCTTCAACCACAGCGATAGTTTGCCGTAAGCATGGAAACAATGGGAAGACATGGTGGTGACATCCTCTGTCACGTTACAGTACGCAAAGAGACTGGAGGTGCTCCGTGGATTGGTGGATGGACGTACTCGTCTGTGCCCTGCAGCGCCAGGAACACAGGAAGCGATGAGACTAGAGATTCGACAGATTCAGTTTGTGACAACTTTCCGGCAGAATCTGCTGCTGAACCAGTCACGTTAAGCTCAGATATGCTAGGAATGAGCAAGGACGTTGCATCCGTTGTAGGGGAAAAGAAAGTCGGAGAGCCGAGACCTTTAGCAGATGCTGGACCGGAATTATCGACGGAGGTAGCCGAGTTACTCGTTAAGAGAGACGAGGAGTGGAAGAAAGAAGTTGCGAAGCTTCTAGCAGAGACCAACAGGCTGAAGCTATCAAAAGACCAGACGATACGCACTCTACGGCATCGCGTTGAAGAGGAACGGACAAGAAATAAAATCTTGAAGCAAAAGGTCTTTGACTTGGAGGGAGGGAAACGGGGAACTTCGGAGTTACCGTTGGAAGCATTTGATGACGAAAGAGCTACGCCATCTGCTGATAACAGTCTTGCCACTAAGGATGGCCATTGCCAGACTCCTGCTGGTGGTACACATGCTTCTCGCTCACAAGCCGAGCCTCAATCTGCTGTTAGCTCGACAGCAAACGAGACCCTTAACGAGGTAAGTTACTCGTTGACGTGTGAACGGACACTCAGGATGTGCATCCGTTCCTAATCATTACTGAGTTTCTCACGTGATCTTTTGAACCGTGCAGGTTGATCCTAAGGACGCGGACATTATTGCTAATCTACGACTTGAACTTACGTCTCTTCATTCTCAAAAAGAGATGCTCACATCTGAGCTGGAATCACTCCGCTCCGTTTTAACCAGCGAGCAGCAGCGAATGAGAATCGTGGAGCAGCAAAGGGATGAGGCGTTGGAGGGCGCGAGAGAAGCAGAAGTAGCGCTAGGCATGGCTGAGCGAAAGCTCCAAGAACAGCATCAGCAGATCCTGAAAATGCAAGCGGAAGGCGATGTAGACCAAGGCTGGCGAATCAAAGGACTTGTTCCTGCATCACAGGTAAACGACGACAACTTCAGCAGCATTTATTGTCTCCACAGCTCCGCGTTTTGCTACAAATTTCATGCAAGTTTTTTTCCCCAAGCAATATTGCACCTCCCTTATCTCCGTTGTGTTGTAATTTTGCAGCTAGACGAGGCTCAAAAGCTCATGGGGGATCAGCTCAGAGAAATTTCAGCGCTGAAAAGTGAGCTTAAGACTTTTAAGGCTTCATTTGAAGCTCAAGCTTTGCGGCTGAAGACTGTGGAAGGCGAGCTGGCAGAAAGAGTTGACGATGCCAGACAGACGAAAGAAGCGCTGGTGGCGGCTGAGGCTGAAAATAGCTGTCTATCAATGGAGAGAAGCGAGCTGAAGGATGAGATTGGCCGATTGCAAGCAGAGACTGCGGACCTGACTGCCTTGAAGGCTGCTGGCGAGGAAAGGGAGAGGAAGAGCGAAAAGGTTATTGAAGATTTGCAGTCACGGTTTGTGGAGATGGAGAGGCAGAAGGATGAAGCCGTGAAAGAGATAGAGAAGGTGTTAGGAGCAGTGATCTCAGAGGTCCAAGACGAGAAGGAGAAAGTCGGAGTGGAGCTGGCAGAATCTAGAAATAAGGCCGAAGAATTGGGAAAGTGGGTATCAGAGCTGAAAGAGATGATTCAGGAGATGCAGTCGAAGATTGAAGACATGGAGGGAGCTGCGAATGCGCAGGATGCTGAGATCCATGCCTTGAGACAACAATTGCAGGCTGAAGAGCAAGAGGTGAGGGTCAAGGAGAAGCAGATTGCAAAACTGACTGCTGACACAAAGACACTGAATGAGTTGATGACCAAGGCAGTGGAGAGCAGGCAAGGCATGGAAGTTCACCTGGAGGCAAAGGGGAGGGAGGTGGAGGAAATAAAAGGCGGATTGAGGCAGGCGGAAACAAAGGTCGCAGCGCTGGAGAGGGAGCTGTCATGGAAGGATGGCAGGCTCAGGGCCGTGGAGGAAGATGCTCAGACGAAGCAGCTGCAGTTAAAGCGTTTGGAGGGCCAATTGGTGGAAGTGCAGCAACAGGTGGGGGTGGTGCAGCGTGAGAAGGAGGCTTGGATGGGCCGGTTCTGGGCACTGGAGCAGGAGAAGACTTCATTGGATGCAGAACTGTATGAGCTGAGTCACCAGATGCTGATGAAGGAGAGGGAGGTGCAGGCATTGCAAGCTGCTCAGGGCTACGGACTGGATTCGGACTGAAACTGGTCGACAGTCAGGGCTTATTGATGTGAGTGGGCTTCTGTTAGTTACAGCGATCTCCAACACGGTGCTTTGGTTAACACTCATTGCTGACAAGCTTTACATTGCAGAAGTAGTTGCAACAACGCAGAAACTCAGTGCAAAGTATACATTGATAGTATGCATTGTAAAGCTATGTTATGGTACATGATCCCATGCTCTCCAGAAAGCCATCAGACTAAGACATGTATACACGTGTCCTATATTTAGCAGGATCCTTCTCATCTGTTGTATTGGTGTAGTACTCCTCAAACAAGAGGCTGCCTGGATATTTTCCCTGTGACCGAATCCATTCATAGAGAGTACGCATCCCCCAATTTCTCAAACGGCCCAATGTGCCACATGGCTGCTGCCTTTACTTCAGGATGCGTCACCACAATGATGCCGTTTGCAGGGTCGTCCGGCACTACACATTTGGTTTATAAGAAGGGGGGGAATTGAACAGCGCATGAGATCAGGCAAAATCAACACGACACCGTGAGAGGTTCCATGGAACTAGAACGTACAATCACTTCAAACGCCTCAGAAGGTACATTTGTTAAAATGGAAGGACAGTAAAAACTAAGACATGTGGTACCTTTTTTTTCAATTACAGAACGCAGCCGTGATGGAATGTTCATTCGCGTGCCAAAGCTGCACCCCATGCGTTGTCAAGAGAGCTTCTTTGAAATGCTACAGGACTGAGGAAGACGACCAAGCTTACCTGTTTTGTCGGGCGAAGAGAGCTTGAAGGGAATCCCACACTCCACGCGGGTGAGGAGAGGCGTGAAGAAGTAGTAGATGGAATAAGGACGGCCGTCCTTCTCTGCTCCGCACTGGTAATAATAGGAGAGGACGGAAGGGTCTGGGGTAGTAAAGATGGGCCATTCAGGACGGGTCCTTCTGAAGAGACTCGAAAATAGGCTGTAACTGAAGCCAGTTGCTGCTGGCGCTGCGTTTGTGTGAATCACTACCCTCATAAATACTTATATGCGCGTTCCAGAGAAGAGCCAAAGCGCACCGAGAGTGTAAACAACGGTCACCTTCTCTAAATGCGACTCGAGCATTGGGAAGGTGGTGCTGCAATTCTGGGCGATGCCGGAGGGATGCAGCACTGCGCGCCGCGCTACCGCCATCATGCCTTTCGGCAGGCTCACGAATTCGGGAATTTCAGACGCCACGTCAGAGCTCTTCGTCTCTCCAGCCATGGTATGGCCACACGAACGAAGGACGGTTGAAGCATATAAACGAGGAAAAAAGTGTTAGGTTTCGTGAGACTTCTTGTCTGTTCATATTTAGGCTTCTAAAAGTGCGTGCGACTGAACTAAAGAACTTTGTGACACTTCTTCTGTCCTGGCCTCCCCTACAAGCTCGCGAATAGCATCGCGCATGACTCACGCTGGATCGCCCCCACGGGAACAGCGCAGAACAGAGCTTTCGCTCTGATTGGGCAGCTGCGAGTCGACTCACGCCAGGTTTGCGGTGCGGAACGGCTCTTGTCTCTTTAACAACGTTACCAATCGGTCATGAACGCCGCTCTGGGAAACAGTATCTTCGTCAGCTTCACGGCAAGAGGAATCTATGTTTGTGTTGCGTACATCGCGGGATCGGGGAGCCAATAGCCGCGTCCCTAGCATATCCGCGTTAATGAGGTGATTTACTTTCTGTTTTGGCTTCCAATGTTTTTACTTACGGCTGGTGTTGTAGCTGTTAGATTGTGGTATGATGTGCTGTTTGAGTTCTGTGGAGTGTGCATGGTTTGTGATGCTTTAGGAACTGTCACGCTGGACAAGATGATTACAGCTTTTTAATGCACAAAACACGAAACCAAGGCAGACATAAATAGTACAAAACACATGCCCTCACAAAAGCAAGAATAGTGAGGTTGGGGATGAGCGCCTTATGATGCAGTGGCTAGTCTTGGGGAAGACACTGCTCTTCTTGATCCACTCCTAGGTACCTATTACCTTGACATTAAAGGGCACGTGACATGAGCTTCTACTCATCACATGCCGCAAATGAACTGCTAGAACAACACGCTAGGTGATTAGCTTCTCCTCCTGCCCCGGGCACCTCCTCTTCCTCTCCGCCTCCGCCCACTGCCCCACATGCCTCAGCGCCGGAAAAACACACAACACGAAGTCCGGCCGAGCCTCAGCGTCGTTTAGCACACACAGCAGCACCTTCGCCATTGCTTTCAGCCACCTTCTGCAGCCAGCCAAATCCCAGCCGCAGGATCCAGGCAGCACTAGTATAACTATACTATGCTACATGATCCCATGGTCATGTACACTCGAGTTCTATACTTAGCAGGGTCCTTTTCTTCCATTGGATTGGTGTAGTACTCTTCAAACATGAGGCTGCCTGGGTACTTTCCCTGTGAGCGAATCCATTCACAAAGAGCCTTGTAAGTGTCCCCCAGTTTCTGGTACGGGCCAATGTGCCACATGGCTGCTGCCTGTACGTCAGGACGGTCCACCACTATGATGCCGTTTGCAGGATCTTCAGGAACTGAATTGAGTGGGTTCACGGGGATGAGCAGATAGGGCAGAGCGTGAATATGTAGAAGAAAACAGTCCTCCCATTACAAGGGACGACAAAAAGCTCCTTGGCATACCCAAAATGGTGCAAAAAGATATGATGAGTGCTACGACACATGAGGAGCTGAAAGGGACGCGATCTCACCTGTCTTGTCCGGCGAGGAGAGCTTGAAGGGAATGCCGAGCTCCATGCGAGTGAGGAGAGGCGTGAAGAAGTAGTAGATGCAATACGAACGGCCGTCCCTCTCCGCTCCGCTCTGCCAGAAACACAAAAACGAGGGCGGAAGGTGGGGAGCGTGAAAGGTGGTTCAAGCGCTCTACTTTTGAGAAAAGTTGAAAAATGGGATGGCGGCGAAAGGAGAGCTACACGCGAGACACAGCGATGCAAGAAAGCTACATAAGTGCGGACGTAAAGCGGGGTTTGGCGAGGCATGCAAGAAGACCCCGTCAAAGTTCTTGCGATGAGGCCAGATGGTGGGAACGGATCGAGACGGAGGTAACAAGGGGACTATTAGCTCTTCCATCGGGCTGACCGAAGCTGCGGGCTGCATAGGCGGAAACACTGCTTGAGAGATGAAGCACCGCGGCGCGCAGATCGGTGCGAGGCGGTTCACCTTCTTCAAATGGGATTCAAGCATTGGGTAAGTGGTGCTGCATTCCTGGGCGATGCCGGATGGATGCACCGTTGCGCGCCGAGCGACCGCCATGCCTTTCGGCAAGCTCACAAATTCAGGAACTCCTGATGCCACGTCAGAAACTTCCGCCTCTCCAGCCATGCTTGCAATATCGCCCCACTGAACGGATTGGACTGTGAGATAGATATAATAAGGCGATAAGTGAGCGCTTCTTCGAAACTCTAGAAGCACGTGATGCTGAACTATATAGTTGGCTCCGTAAAACTTCTATCCTCGGCTTCTTCTAAAACGAATTCTATATGCTCTTCGCTCTTGCTCCCCGCTTTTCCTCTCCCATGAACAGAATTCACTGCTGGAAGGCGGGGTGGCTGAGGCGTGGGGGTGTCAAAAAGGTTGTCTCTTCAAAGCATTTTGGTAGGATTCTGTCCGTGTCCGAACGGTTTTTTGCGTTATTGAACGGTTACGAAAGGTTGAGTCGGAAACAAGCACACCGTACACCCCTCGAAACCTTATCTTCGTCGTCAGCTTCACGCCAAGAGAAAGATGCCTTGTTTGCCGCTGACACCGCTGGAATGGGGAGCCAATCGCATTGTCCCTCGGGCGTTCTGCTTATCCGTACAGATACCCCCTAACAACAGTCTGTGAAATGTGCGTAGGAGTGTACTGATGCCTATGTCAACTAGTCTTGGCTGGTTCATTAATTTTTTTGACCAGACAAAGCCAACAACAATATGAAATGTGGCAGGCAGCTGAAGCATTGGTGCTTAGCAACTTACAACAAAAAAAAAAATAGAGCGATACACAACCAAAACAAACAACATTATACAAACACATTTAGCTGTTCACAAAGGCCAGTATAGTGAGGTTGGGAATCAATGCCTTGTGGGACAGGGGCTTGCCAGTCTTGGGGGAGACCGAGCTGTCCTTGAACCACTGCTCTATGTACCTCCTCTCATACGTGTAGCCATCAGCAGCAATCACAGGGTCCTGCATTCGAGTCTGCCAACAGACACACATGAACAAAAAAATACATTGTCAGGCAGGCCAGAGAGAATCGGGGCATGTGTGCGCCACACATGACAGCAGGCAAGGCATAGAGGAAGTTATAAGGCAGAGAGGGACGTGGTCAGGCTGGCGCTTCACTGCAGGGCATGCCAGGTGACAATTGAATCACTTCAAAAAACTAACTGTTTGACTAGCACGAACCCAAGTCTCACCTTGCTCAGCGGGCACATGAGCTTCTCCTCCTGCCCCGGGCACCGCCTCTTCCTCTCCGCCTCCGCCCACTGCCCCACATGCCTCAGCTCCGGAAACACACACCCCACGAAGTCCGGCCGAGCCTCAGCATCGTTCAGCACGCACAGCAGCGCCATCGCCAGCATCCTCTCAGCCACCTTCCGCGGCCAAATCCCAGCCGCAGGATCCAAGCAGCACATGAACTCCTCAACCGCTGCCTCCACTGCCCCGCCCGCCCGCTTGAACGGCATCAGCTGCTTGTGTAGCGCGCGAATATTCGGCTGCCCGAGCAGCAGCTGCAGGATTATCAGCCCGAGCGCGTACACATCGCTCTTCCCCGTCACCTCGCCTGTCTGCATCTCCGAAGGGTCTATGTACCCGACAGATCCAGACAGACGCCACGTTTCCGGCAGCACCTCGCCTTGCCCGACAAACTGAGCAATCCCCACATCGCCCACTTTGCTGCGTTTGTTCCGGTCCAGAAGGATATTTTCCGGTCGGAGGTCCCCGTGGACGATGGGCGGGTCGTGGCAGTGCAGGAACACCAGGGCTGCTGCCAGCTCGCACGACACGCGGATCCGGTCGTGCCACGTCAGCGGCGCCCACGGCTTGGTGCCGGGGGTTTTGGCGAGGCGTTCGAGGAGGGAGCCTCCTGGGAGATGCTCGTAGACTATGCAGCGCTCCTCAGGGCACTGCCCCATCATGAGGGCCACGTGTGGGTGGCGAACTTTGGACAGTATGCTCACTTCTCTCTGGAAATCCTCCTCCTCGCAGGAGCCTGCGTGCTCGAGGCGTTTGATTGCGACGGTGGAGCCGAAGAGCGTGCCCTTGTGGAGAGTACCGAGGACGGTTTTAGTGAGGATGGTTTTCGGGGAGAAGTGGTCGGTGGCCTGGAGGATCTCGGCTCGGGAGAAGGTCCGGCACTCGGAAGAGGGTCGGCAATCGGTGGAGGGTCGGGAGGACTCGGTGGAGGTTCGGGATTCGGTTCGGAAGAGGTGAGAGGCGCTGCTAGCCTCGGAACGGGCAGGCGACCAGGCTGAGAGGCTGCTGGAGGAGGAATACTGTGGGAGAAAGGGGAGGGGGAGAGAAATGGGCAAGGAGGAAGCAGGAAGAGAAAAAAGGAAAATGGGGAAACGGGAAAGTGTAAAGTGAGCTTTTAGCACTGGTGAGGTGAGCAGTGCCTTCAAATCAAACCATGATTGCTACTGCATGAGGAGTGGGTCGGCGACCAGGGGGAGAGGCTGTGTGGGGCGCACAGCTTACCTTGGTTGAGAACTCGCCAGTGACAAACGTGATGCCCTCCTCTTGCTCCTCCTCCCCCCTCACCCTCTCTCTTTCCCTCTCCCTAGCTGCACTGTCCAAACTGCCCCTGTGGCGGTTACTGGTACAGGTACTGTTGCGGTTACTGTTACTCCAGCTGTTGCGGTGACTGTTCCCGCCGCTGCTGCTGCGGCTGCTGATGCTGCAGGGGCTCTCCACTTCGGGGAGAGAAGCAAACGCGGAGTCCTGAAGCGAGTCCGGAAGTGAGTCCTGAGGAGAAAAGTCACCGCACAGAGGAGCCAGTGCAGGCCGAGGCGTGGAGGGCAACTGCATGGCCTCAGGGGTGCATGGCATGTGCGCTCCCCCCAACACACCCTGAGGGGTGGAGGGCATGTGTGCTGCACGCAACACACCCTTAGGGCTGGAGGGCAGCTGGGAAAGAGCCGAGACGGAAGAAGACTTGGTCAGGCCAAGACCAGGTGGGGTTTTGGGCGGGCTGGGGTTGGAAAACGCCTTGGGCAGGCGAGGCATGTTGGGTGCTTGGGCGGGAGAGTCAGCGAAGTGAGAACTACCAGGTGATTTGGGCAAGCGAGGAGTGGTGGGAGCTTGCAAAGGGTCATGGGGGCTGGACGGTGAGAGGGATAACTGAGGGCTGCTGGTGGCTGTCTGAAGAGTCTCGAGAGAGTTGCTGGGGATGAGAAGGGCTATGGGTGCCTGAGGGAGAGGCGATTTGGAGGAAGCAGGGCTGGGCGGCGAATTGGGGAGGGCAGAGAGGGCAGATGGTGGAGAGGGGCGGTTGGGGAATGCGCGGGAGGCACTGTGACGCCGGGGTGGTGTGGCTGGCGGGTTGGAGGGAGGCAGAACCTCCTTCCCCACCTCCTCCTCCTCGTCCTCCTCCTCCTCCTCCTCCAGCTCAGGAATGCTCGCAGCGCTGCTGACAGAGCAGCTGGCCATGGAGTGAGCCACAGGGGACTTGGGGGGCGTTGGTGGCCGGGAGCGCAGATTCAACGGTAGTCCAAGCCTCCCCGCCTTCTCACTCCCTCCCCGTTCACTGCCACTCTCGCTCCCTCTCTCGCTGCCCCTCTCGCTCCCTCTATCCTCCTCCTCCTCGTCCTCATCATCTGAGTCATCCATGAGAACAGCAGCCGACATGCCCAGGCACAGCGGCTCTGACTGTGGGATCATGCTGCGGCCCCTCCCCGCCATCGCCCCTGCCCTTGCCGCCCTCTGCACCGCGTCCGCCAACGAACCCCCACTCAACCCACCTGCACCAGCACCACCGGCAGCAGCAGCAGCAGCGGCGGCAGCAGCAGCAGCAGCGGCGGCAGCAGCAGCAGCAGCAGCAGCAGTCGTGCTGAAATCAGCATCACCGTAGGCGCCCGTGCCGAGCAGGGGAGCGCCGGAGCCAACAGCAAAAGTGCCGGAGCAGGTGCCAGCAGCCATGAGTGCCTCGAGATTGGAGAAGGAGTTCTGCCTCTGCAGCCGCGCCCGCAGCAACTCCCCACCACCAGCACCAGCAGCAGCAGCAGCAGCAGCGCCAGCGGCACCACCAGCACCACCCGCGCTGTGGCTCCCAAAGTGGCCACTGAGGGAGAACCCTCTAGCGCGGTTAAAGAAGTGGGTGCTGCCGCCTCCGCTGCCGAAGCTGCCGCTGCTATCGTCGCTATCCAACCCGTCAGCGCCCGCTGCCCTGCCGCGGCGGGCGGCGCTGGGGCTGAGCATGTGGCGCACAAAGGCAGCGCGCAGGGAGGCGGAGGGGATGCGGCGCTTGATGGAGCGCGAGGCAAACGACGCCGACACGTTGAACGGGCGGAAGTGGATGCGCGGGGACGGTGGCTGCACGCACGGGTCAACACCACTCACCCCTGCGGCCCCTGCCGCTGCCCCTGCTGCGGTTCTGGATGGGGATAGGGATGAACTGCCCAGCGGTGCTGCAGCAGCAGCTGCAGCTGCCGTTGAGCCGGATGCGAGTGCGGCAGTATACGCCACGGCTGCTGCAGTGGACGGGGAGCAGACAGCTGGCGGCGACGGTGGCAATCCCGGCCGATACACCTCCGCACGGTGGGAGACTCCCTGAAGAGAATTTCCTTGAAGAGAATTCAAATTTCCCTGGAGGGAAGAAAGTGCCTGGTGGTGGGGGTTTCCTGGCTGGGGGTCAGTAGTAGTATCAGTGGGGGAGGCTGTACGAGGGGAGAAGAGGCGCGGGGTGAAACCGCGAGGGGAGAGCGGCGGCAGGCCCTTGCGGGAAGGCGACGGACCTCTGCTGCCGTTGAAGCTGTGGAGTGCTGAGGGCGCACCGAGGCCGTTGATCAGGAGGAGGGTCTCGATGGACGGTGCGGATGCGTTAAGGTGGCCCTGGAGTGTGATGAGCTTGTCAGCCTTGGGGATGAGGAGAGTGCAGGTGGAGGGGAGCAGGTCCAGAGGGAAGTCCATGATTGGTGTGGGTTCTTGCTTGCGGAACAGGCGACGACTGCAGGAGATGAAACAGGGAGCAGAGGAAGGAGGGGGTGCAAAGAAAGGAGGTGTTAGAAAGCAAAGCTGGAGAGTGATGAGCTTGTCGGCCTTGGGGATGAGGAGAGTGCAGGTGGAGGGGAGCAGGTCCAGAGGGAAGTCCATTACGGGCGCCGGCTCGTGCTTCCGAAACAGGCGCCGACTGCAGGAGAGACGGAGGAAGGGGAGTAAAAGAGATCACATCATGAATCCAGACGTGACCCCTCCAGCGGCTCTCTGCGTACGCTGTCCAGCCGCCTACTTCGGCGTTTGTGAGTGTGAGGTACCCCGCGGATGGATGCAACAGTGAAACGCCACCCACCTGGCCTTCTTAGGCGGCGGCGTGTTGCTGATGTAGAGGCGCTGTGCCTTGAACTTGACTGCTGCGATGCACAGCCCGCGCTCCCACGCCTCTGCTGCCTCTGTGTGCATCGTGATGGCTGGGCGTGCCTGTGGGTTAAGAAGGGCGCAGGGGGTGGAGAGGAATACAGCACAGCAGCGGTGGAGAAACGGAGGGAGGCGGTTGAGACATGAATCATGGGAATAATACAGAACGAAAGCAGAGGGGAGTTGAAAGAGTGAAGGGGGGAGGGAGGGAAGGAGGAATGGGGGAAGGGTGGAGGGGGGAGGAGTTGTTGGGGATGGATGACAAGCGAGCTTACCGAGGGCGAGGCAAGGTCCGCAGCACTCTGCTTGAGGCCGGGGGTGGGGTAGCACTCCCCCTCCTCTGCCTGCGTCGCCTGTGCCTGCAGCTGCCGCGCAAACGACATCTTGCCTGCCATGCCGTGCGCTGGTGACGCGCTCCCGCTCATGCCTGATGGTGGGGAACGAAAACAAAAGAAGAGGAGGGAAGATTGGGCTTGTCAGTCGACTCAGCAGTCGCCTGTGCCTGCAGCACAGCTGCTGCGCGAACGACATCTTGCCCGCCATGCCATGCGCTGGTGAGGCACTCCCGCTCATGCCTGGAAATGAAAAGAAACAAACAAAAGAGGATAAAAGGCAGGAGGGGGGAGGAGGGGAGGAGGGTAGCAGGGCAGCAGGGTAGGAGGGGGAGGAGGATGGGAGGGTAGGAGGATAGGAGGGTAGGAGGGTAGGAAGGAGGGGAGTTGGCTAGGATTAGGTCCTGCAACAATGATGGGACTTTCTGGGCTTAGGTCATTCAAGGAGAGACGGATGCGGGGGGGGGGGGGGGAGATGAGGAGAGAGGTCATGATGTGGACGGGTGGAAGGAGGTAGAGGGGAAGGAATAGGACCAGGGAAACGGAATTGGGGGAAGTGACTGGGTGGAGGAGCGGCGTACCAGCTGTGACTGTAACGAGTACAAGCTGTACTCTGCCCTTGTAGCTCTTAGCATCGAGGTTAGCGCGCGCGAGAGCGCCAATGGCGGATTCGATGGTCTTGCTGATGTCCACTAGCCACACGGCGCTTGGCTCCGGCATCCTCGTTATAAGTCGCTGTGGCTTTTCCCACCGAGGAACCCCAGTGAATGCTCTTCAAACAGAAGAACTGGCGACAGAAGTTTCCTTGTAAAGAGAACCCTGCAATCGACTATCGGCTTGTGATGACTAAGGGGGCTTGGAACGGACCTAGGGATTGGCAATAGTATCACCGGGCTGCATGTGACAGCAGTAGAAATGAAGCTCCTCTCTCGGAACTGCCTTGGTTTATCTTTCGACTGATCCTGACAATATCTCTGCTGATTTAGCTTTTCTGCTCGTCGTAGCAGCATCGCCGTGAAGCTAGCTCCTCGGAAAAGCGCAAGCCCAGGCGTTGATGGCACCATGGCGGCTGAATCAGCAGATAAGAACTGCACCGTTAATTTGGCAACGCTTTCCTGGTCGTTACTCCTGGATCGCGCCGTTTGATGGTTGCCACTCGGCTGTTTGCGGGTCGTTCCAAAGACAGCAGTTTCAGTTCAGAGCGACAGGAAATATCCGCGAATGGGATTTCCTGGACTACTCGCGTTGGCTCCGTCAGTAAGCAGCCTAACAATCTCCACCGTCCGATCTGTATCTGTTCCGTCAACAACGATACCATGCATCCCATTACAAGGGAAGGGAGAACTATATGCGTTGTACTGTGCATTCAGTGATGGATCTACAGTAAATATCCCGCAATGCGCTCAAGGCGTTCTTGTCGGCCAGCTTTACAGCAAGCAATGAAAGCTTTCAGCCGGTGGCGATTCGTCTGGCCAGGCGCACTGATGGCAGAGCTGCGGTCTAGCGATCAGCATCCTACAGATGGCATCCACAGTGCTCCGCTCTGCGGGAACTGAAAAGGGTGCCTCGGTAATGTCGAAGGAGAAATCTACGACCGAGATCCTCATCAGCAAGAAATAGAAAGCGTCTCCACCGTCGATTGTACCGCTGGGGCTGGACAACACCTAGGAATGCGATGGGTCTGCTGGCTAACGAAAAGCGGTTGCGATTGCCGCGGAACGCCATCGCTACGAATGTCAAAATGCTGCGCGAGCTGGGGAGAAAGGGAGGTGAGGTGACCAGACAGACCCGCTGCCGAGCAAGCAGGGAGCAGTTGGGAGTTGTGGTGGAATGTCGCTCGTCTGTTCCGTTCCGTTCCAATTGTGGAACTTGGTTGATACTTGGCGTGGCGGGAACCTGCTGCATTCCATCTCAAGGCGGAGTTGAAAAAGAGCCGTCGGATTGAACTCGGCTGGCTGACGACTCTTGCAATTCATGTGTCTGTGTGTGTCCCTTCAGTTCACGCACGGCTCACGAGCATTCATATGGGGGGCGCCTGGCACCCAACTGATTCACGTCACGACTTACGAGTGCTCTCTATCGTACTGTACCGCTCAGAGCCGCTACTTCCTCTCCACTTCACGACCTCGATAGTGCACACCTCCTCGGCTCGGTTCAGCTGCAACCGTAACACGTATACAATCTATGTAAGGAATTACAGCTCATACTGTACTCGCACTTTAGCAAGTGCCGTACATCCCTAGGGCCACGCAATCATCACGTTTGGCCTATCTCGTCGCACCAAACCACTCCCGATTCGGCCCCGATCCAATCTCAACATCACAGCCATCTTCGCAACGCTACTTTCATTGTATCGCCATTCAGTAATACACATTCTCATTATTCGTTATTCCGCGCACTCTACAAGTTTATTCATAACAATTTAGGCGAAGTATATGGCAATCTTAGTTGTTGCTCAAATAGTCAGGCTCTACAAGGTTCCTTATATATAATTTCTCAACACATATATGCTTTTGGGCTACTAGGGTAACGGACTTGTAAGCCTGTAGCATCCCGCTCGTACGGCTAGAGCAACTAACCCACGGGCGGCTGGAGCAATGGGCTCACTGGCGACTGGCGCTGATGGCTTCACGGGGGCCAACCCCCTCCAACCTTTCCAACCTCTTCCCCCCCGCCCCCCCAAACCCCCCTCTCACAACGACGGAGTGCAAGGAGAAAACAAACGGAGGAGGAAGCAGCTGGAAATGGAGAGGAGAGAGGAGGAAGAGAGGTGCGGAGAGGCGGCAGGAGGAGAGTATCAATGGCAGTTGTGTGTTGGCCCCGTCCTCTCTTGGGCGGAGCCGACTTCCTGATCGGGTGTGTGGGATGTGCAGCTGACTTGTAGCAGTGGGCGATGCCGATTTGGGCGAGCTGGTCGACGGATTTGGTCGACCTGCACGGGGCCACTCTGAAGCCGCCGCCTTTGGGACGCCGGCGGCCGACTTCTACGGGTGGTCGACGACGGGGCTCGTCGACCTGGGAAGGGCTCCGACATGGAGGACGTCGACTTTGGGAGGTCGACTTGGGAGGGCGCCGACTTGGTGGCGCCGACCGGGGAAGCCGACTTGGTGAAGTCGGCTATCAGCCAGTCTGGTCGACTTGGAGTTGATCGACCTGGGGAGTGGCCGACTTAGTGAAGTGGGCTGGAGGACATCGACCTAGGTGGTCGACGGGCACATATGTGAGGATCGAGGATCGAGTTCAGAAATGAGAATGTAAATTGAATGATCACCTGGGTACAACACGAGGCTATATATAGGCTTGACACAAGGCAGGTAACCCAGGTGTTACGCGAATGTTCCGAGGGTCGCGAAGCGTCCCGAACAGAACCTTCCCGAACTCGGTAGAAAGCAATTCGGTGGCAACCGAATAGCTTGAGTTCGGTACACGTAACCTGGTTCGGTGCCTATAACTATAATAACTATAGTAAAGCAACGAACCTAGGAATCAAGCAATTCATGCATGCAGAAAATAAACCTAAGCTAGAAATAGCGTAAGGAAATAATAGCAAGCATGAATAACAAGCATAAGCCGTCGTACTCTCACACGTCCCCCCCTCAAAGCTGGGTGGCGTGAGATACACCCTGCTTGACAAGATAGTCCTTGAGAGCACAGCGTGCGTTGCCCATATCAGCTTCTGGCACCCAACTGTCCTCAGTGGGGTCGTATCCCTTCCGGCGTATTACGTACTCGGGTTCATCCTGCACAAGAACAGGTGGTGGTGGCGGTAGCTGTCGTCCCTGGAACTGTTGGTTGGGGTCCTTGTAGGGTTTCAGTAGCTGAACATGGAAAGCATTGTGAAGCTTCTGTTAAACTATATTATGCTTGTAGGCTGTAGTGGGGTAGCCAATATGGGGTACAACCCCAACTAGGGTTTGCTACTTGTACCCAATTCTTCCATTCAATGCATCATTCTTGCCTAGTGATTCTGACATGGTATCAGAGCAGGAGGTCCCTAGGACCTACCGATCGTTTTTTTTTTAGGGCCCACCACCGCTCGCATGCGGTTACCACGCTACCCCGTTCCCTAGCCTCGTAGCGCCCTCGTGCCCCTTTGCTAGCGCCCTCGCGCGCCCCTTGCTAGCGCCCTCGCGCGCCCCTCACTAGCGCCCTCGCGCGCCCCTCACTAGCGCCCTCGCGCGCCCCTCGCCGAGCCGCCCGCTCGCAGCCCGCCCGCCCGCTCGCTGCCCGCTTCGCGGCCCGCTCGCTACGCAGCCCGCCCGCCCGCTCGCTGCCCGCTTCGCGGCCCGCTCGCTACGCAGCCCGCCCGCCCGCTCGCTGCCCGCTTCGCGGCCCGCCCGCTTCGCAGCCCGCCCGCCCGCTCGCTGCCCGCTTCGCGGCCCGCTCCGCGGCCCGCCCGCTTCGCAGCCCGCTCGCTCGCTGCCCGCTTCGCGGCCCGCCACTTCGCAGCCCGCCCGCCCGCTCGCTGCCCGCTTCGCGGCCCGCCCGCCTCGCAGCCCGCTCGCCCCGCTGCCCGCTTCGCGGCCCGCCCACTTCGCAGCCCGCCCGCCCGCTCGCTGCCCACTTCGCGGCCCGCTCGACCCGCTGCCCGCTTCGCAGCCCGCCCGCCCGCCCGCTGCCCGCTTTGCGGCCCGCCCGCCTCGCAGCGTCGCCCGCCCACCGTGCTGCCCGCTTGCAGCGCCGCCTGCCCGCCGCGCTACCCGCTTCCCGGCCCGTCCGCCGCGCTGCCCGCTCGCAGCGTCGCCCTCCCGTCGCACTGACCGCTTGCAGCGCCGCCTGCCCGTAGCGCCAGCCTCGCCCGCTGCTCTCTATCCGTGCACAGTCGTCTTCCCCTGCTGCGGCAGCTTGCGTTACTCTGTCACACTGTCGCTATGGCTTCCATTCGCGTGCTGTCGTTCGATGCTGAGGGCCGCCCTGTGCGTTTCACCGCTTGGCTAGATGACCTGCAGCTGTTTCTCCTGAGCGATAGCAAGGAGCATGTGTCGCTCTATGACTACGCGTCTGGTGCTGCGCCTGCCCCTCCCGCCACAGCTGAGCTTAGTGTTCGTTCCCACTGGCAGACTCGTGACGCAGCTGCTCGCCTAGCCATTCGCAGTCACCTGCCGTTAGCTGAGCTAGAGCATTTTGGCGACTGCAAATCCGCTAAGGCCCTGTACGACGCTGTCGTCGCTCGCTACTCCTCGCCTGCCACAGCCGAGCTTAGCCGCCTCATGCTGCCGTACCTGTTCCCCGATCTGTCCACCTTTACTACAGTCGCCGATCTTATCACCCACCTTCGCACTAGTGATGCTCGCCTGCGTGCCGCCCTTCCCACCGAGTTCTGCGCTAAGAACCCCCCTCCACTGTACTGGACACTCCACTTCATAGTCACCCGTCTCCCTGACACCCTCCGCTCAGTTCGAGACCACTTCCTTGCTCGCTGTCCCACTGAGCTCACAGTCGCCCTCCTAGAGGAGCACCTGCTCGCGGCCGAAAAGAGCATTGTGGCTGTCGGTGCTGCTCGTGGCGCTCCTCGCACCCCCATCTTTGAGGGGTGTTCTCCCTCTCCCCTCGCTCCCTCCTACGCTGCTGCTGCTGCTGTTGACTTCCTTGGTGCTGAGTCTGTTGGCGCTGCTTCTACTCCTGGTGGGAGGCGCCGCACCGGCAAGGGCAAGGGGGGCAAAAGTGGTGGTGGTGGCGCTGGTGGGGGAGGAGGTGGGGGAGGTGGGGGGGGAGGCGGT